AGGTCAGGTACACCTCTGATAAAAACCTAGATAAAAAGAAAGATCTAAAAACACCATGGACAGCTGACTGGATAGCGGAAAGGCTCAGGGACCAAAAGGAAGAAAGATCTATTGGTATCCTAAATAGCTGGACCCATAAGAAACGAGGATTAGAAGTCAATGCAGATCTGATAAAAGAACTAAACACTTTACCAATTCACAAAACAGTATTAGCATTGGAGGAACTGAGAAAGCCCAAACAATTCATTCGCGGCACTCAGGGAAACCAAATGAATATCACCTGCAGACTGACAAACCTCACATTGCATCAATCAACGACGATTGAAGCACTACTAGATAGCGGCTGTACCGGAAGTTGCATAGACAACAAATTTGTTGAAGAACAGGGATACGAAAGGCAAAGAATCCCTAGACCAATCCCAGTCTATAATGCTGACGGTACTCTTAACCGAGACGGCAGTATTAAAGAATTCGTAGAACTATTAGTGGAGATCAATGACCATGCCGAAAGACTCCAACTGGCGGTTACCAACCTTGGAACCGGTAGGATGTTTTTAGGCCATGAATGATTAAAAAAGCACAATCCCACAATAGACTGGAAATCGTCAAATTTAGACTTTAACAGATGTCCATCAGACTGCAATATGATAATAAGATTTTTCGATCCTGAAGAAGATCTTGAAACGTATTGCCCTGAGGTCAATCTCAAAGAGGGGGATAGAATCATCCAATTCAATTTCTTAAATATCGAAGACACATCCATTCCTGACGTAATGCATCATATCCGCGCTCATGGCACAACAGCCCAACAACTTGCCGAAGCAGCAGGAAAAGATCAGAAAACAGGAGGTTTTGAAGGAATAGTACCAAAACACCTTCATGACTTCAAAGATGTCTTTGATAAAAAAGAATTTGATGCCCTTCCCGAGAAAAGACAATGGGACCATGCTATCGAGTTAATACCAGGTGATCACACGATAGACTGCAAAGTTTATCCTTTAGCATTAGGAGAACAAGAACAGTTAGATGCATTCCTAAAAGAGAATTTAGATTCAGGACGCATCAGACCCAGTAAATCTCCAATTGCCTCTCCTTTCTTCTTTATCAAAAAGAAAGACAGTAAACTCCGACCCGTACAAGATTATCAAAAGTTAAACGAAATTACCATCAAAAACAGATATCCACTACCTCTGATTAATGAACTTGTAGACAAGCTCAGAGGCGCCAAGTATTTCACAAAATTGGATATCAGATGGGGATACAATAACATTCGGATCAAGGAAGGAGATGAACACAAAGCTGCTTTTAGAACCAATCGCGGCTTGTTTGAACCGTTAGTTATGTTCTTTGGATTGACGAATTCTCCAGCAACATTCCAAACTATGATGAATTCAATATTCAAAGACCTAATTGATGAAGGAAAAGTAGTGATCTATCTAGACGATATCATGATCTTCACAAAGACAATTGAAGAACACCGAGCAATGACGCGACATGTACTTCAAATCCTTAGAGAACATCACCTATATCTAAAACCAGAAAAATGCAATTTCGAAGAAACAGAAACAGAATATCTGGGACTAATCATCTTGGAAAACGAAATCCGCATGGATCCGGTGAAAGTAAAAGGAATTCTAGATTGGCCGGAATGTACAACAAAGAAACAAGTACAAGCCTTTTTAGGATTCGTAAACTTTTATAGGAGATTTATCGAAGGATTCGGATCAATAGCTAAACCGCTTACTCAACTAACTGGTAAAGAAGAGTTCATATGGGGTAAAGAACAAAAAGAAGCATTTGAAGAGATTAAAAAGAAAATCAGTTCAACCCCCGTATTAGCACTCCCGACCAATGATGGTCAATATCGAGTAGAAGCGGATAGTAGTGATTATGCTCTAGGAGCGGTACTCTCTCAAGAACAGAATGGAGTCTGGAAACCAATTGCTTATTTATCAAAATCTCTAAACCCGACCAAAAGAAACTATGAGATATATGATAAAGAACTATTGGCCATTATGACAGCTTTAAAGGAATGGCGTCACTACCTGATGGATGCCGCGAAAGAGTTCGAGATCTGGACAGATCACCAGAACTTGACATATTTCAAACAACCTCAGAAGCTCAATAGACGGCAAGCGAGATGGGTTAGCGAACTGGCCAACTATCATTTCACATTACACCATAAGCCAGGAGCTACTCATATCAAAGCCGATTTACTCTCCAGATGACCAGACCATGATGAGGGAAAGAATGACAACGAAAATGTTACCCTATTGAAACCAGAACTATTCTCTATCAATATGACTCTATCACACGAAAAAAGGCAACAGATAGCAATTGACGATGCCAAAAATATAGAGATCACAAGATGGATTCATAAAAGGATGAAAAATGTTGACGAACTCATTAAAAAGGTCAAGGACAAAATAGACAACCGCCAAGACGGCTGGTGGACCGATGAAGGACTCATCTACTTCAAAGGTCGCATGTATGTCCCAAAAGACCAAAAACTCAGAGAAACGATCATAAGAGACAACCACGATTCCCCAATAGCTGGCCACCCAGGCCGGTATAAAACAAAGGAATTAATTACTCAATCGTATTGGTGGCCATATATGGATAAAGAAATCCAAGAATACGTAACTGGTTGCGAAACATGTCAACGCACAAAAACAGATCATCAGAAAAAAGCCGCACCATTACATCTGAATGAGATCCCAAGCCGCCCCTGGCAAATCATATCAACAGATCTTATCGGACCGCTACCAGAATCGAAAGGGTATAATACCATTATGGTGGTTGTAGATTGATTCTCCAAAATGATCAGGATCATGCCGACTCATGCTGAGCTAAATTCAGAAGGAGTAGCGAGATTATTTATAGAGACAACATTTTCAAACTCCATGGACTACCTGACAAGATCATATCAGACCGAGGAGTACAGTTTGTCTCGAACTTCATGAAAGATCTCTATACAATGCTAGGTATAAAAGGAAACCCATCCACTGCTTATCACCCACAAACCAATGGCCAAACAGAGAGAATCAACCAAGAGATAGAACAATATCTCAGAATCTTTGTTAACCATAAGCAGGATGATTGGGCAGACTGGCTACCACTAGCAGAATTCTCCTATAATAATAAAGAACACTCAGCTACTGTCACGACTTGAACCAGAAGCGCTAGTCTGAGCGCTAGTTTCCTTTTTTCTTTTTTGATATCTGATCACATGATAGATAAGATATGTTAAGCTGCTGCTTTAGCGCGGATAACATAATACGTAGTTATATCAGATCACGTGACCATCACGTGACAAGAGTCTAGAACCATTACAAAGAACATCAGTCAGCGCCTCAAGGCTGCTGCATGTTAGATAGGTCAGCGCCTCATGGCTGACTTTCAGAAACATATATATAGTAGACCACCATGTACATACTTTCCTCAGTTGTTGATTAATTCTCAATCGCTATCTTGTAACGCTACTTGTTTGATTTAAGCCTTCGTCCCTCCGTTAGTTCGGTAAAGGGGATAAGGGTTTTACAGCTACTGGCTTTAGTCCTTTTTATCTAAACAACGGACAACATCCAAAGATGGTAGAAGGAGTCAGAAAAGGAGTAAAAAGTGAGAGTGCAGAAGAGTGTGTAGAGAGGATGAAAGAAACGAGAGAAGAAGCAGAGAAATCTCTAGCAAAAGCAGCTGAGATCTTACGATAAGACAAAAAGGGAAAGTCTTAAGTATGAACCAGGAGATAAGGTTTACATAGAAGCCGAACATATCACAACAGATCGGCCATCAAAGAAGTTGGATGACAAATGACATGGACTATTCGTAGTCGAAAAGAAAACCGGTCCGGCAGCTTACAAATTAAAACTACCCAGAAAATGGAAAAATGTATACCCGGTATTCAATGAAAAAATCCTACACCCTTACAAAGAACCAACCTTTTCGGGACAACAAAAACCTAAACCTCCACCTCCTGCAGAAGTTGACAGACAAAGAGAATACAAAGTGGAACAAATACTTGACTCACGATTGAAACGTGACAAGTTAGAATATTTGGTACACTGGAAAGGATACGGAAAAGAAGAACGAACATGGGAACCTGAGCAAAATGTCAAAAACTCGCCAGAATTAGTCAAAGACTTCCACGATCATTTCCCATCCGCTCCACGCCGAATAAATATCTTACTTCATTACAAAATGTTCAAAAACTTTACTAAACCATCTCACAATTGCAAAATATTCCATTGGGAAAATGGCAAATTAGAACCAACCTTTCGGGACGAAAGTCCTAAAGGGGGGGTAATGTCACGATCTCTTTCTCTCACACCTGACACCTCACCTTTTCTCTCAAACTCAGACGTCGAGACTCATATCTCTCCTTATCTTATCACATAGCTTTCCTTTATCTATATCCAAATCCCATCACGTGACATCAAGTCATGTGACTACTTACAAATCATCTTACCAAGCTACACGTTACATCCTCATGTCTATCAGTCAGCGCCTCATGGCTGACATGAGTTCTTACATATATAAGTAGACACTCAATGATGTACATACCTTAGCTTTTGATTTAGTCTTTATACAACCTGTTCAACTACCTGCTTGAGATTGACGTTGGGTCTGCCTGGTTTCTTCCAGTAGTGCAGCTCAGTCGTTATACTAAGGCTCCAAAGATAAACAGAAACAGTGAGGAGAGTAAAAGCAAAATGGGTCTATCAATATGAAACCAGCTGTAACTAAAAGATGCTTGAAAAACACAGCAGACATTCTTAGAACATGATGTGTATTCTGATAGCTTAGGGACAACAATTATTGGATTGGTGTACACACTAAGGTTAAAAGGTGTCAGGAATATGCCCCATGGGTAACCGGATAGATGACAACACCGGCCGGAGGGACCCCAATGCACTTTCTCGTGATATGCCTCGCTAGTGCCGGATTTGGAAAGAGAATCTTTGCGGGGTCCTCTACTGGCGCGTAAGTCGTAGTCTATCACTTTTCAAGTTTTGAAGTCTCTCCCCATCGTGTCTTTTTATTTGAATCTTGCTCAATTGAACCATGAGAGCATATGTTGTTAAAGAATGGATTCATCCGTCAAAGCTCAGTCTCACTCTAGACGCTCCTGACCCTCAGCCTGGTCCAGAGGACGTGCTCGTCGATATCTTCTCTGCCGCACTAAACTTCTTCGATGCGAGTGACGCGATCCTTTTATTCCCTACTATTTGCCTGATGGTCTACTAGATTCTCCAAGTTCAGGGAAAGTATCAAGTCAAGCCTCCTTTCCCCTTCGTCATGGGCACCGAATTCGCCGGGAAAATCGCGTCAAATTCACCCATTCCTAGGGGCTGTTCTTTCAAGCCTGGCGATAGAGTATTTGGTAGTGCTCAAGGTTGTTTTGCGGAGAAAGTAGCAGTTCAATGGGAGCATGTCCACTTGCTACCAGACAACCTGACGTTTGACCAGAGTGCTGGTATGACATTTGTTTCCCGTACTGCATCCTTGTTAATCAATCCACTGTCAGGACTGTTTCTCACTTGGCCTACGAGCTACGAAGCTTTGGTCGGTAGGGCCGACTTGAAACCCGGTATTTATCAGATATACGTCCTTACAGTGCGTCTGTTGATGCACGCTGTTCTCAGGCGAATGGGTCCTTGTCACCGCCGCCGCCGGAGGGGTGGGAATCGCCGCTGTTCAGCTCGCCAAAGGTACCATACATGCCCATTGCGACTTCAATAGCTAATAACTCCCCCTATAGCACTCGGTGGTAATGTCATTGCTGCTGCCGGATCAGCAGGCAAGCTTGAAATTTGTAAAAAGTATGGGGGCGCAGATTACACGGTCGATTATACCAAACCTAATTGGCAAAAGGAGGTGCTCAAGATAACTGGCGGTAAAGGTGTCGATGTTGTATATGATCCTGTGGGTCGCATTGTAGGTGAGCTGGTCCTAATTTCGTATCTTGGGGGTCCCATTACACTGAACTGATCACATAGACTCACTTAAATGTATTGCGTGGAAGGGCAGAGCTCTAGTGATCGGTTTTGCTGGTGGTAACATTGAAAAGGTGTGTCCTAAAGACGGCATCACATAACGTTAATTGAATCATTGTTATTAGCTACCTCTGAACTTAGTTCTACTAAAAAATATCACAATTATGGGCTTACACTGGGGCGCATATACAAGTAAGGTTGATTCAATCGATCAGCATTCTTCATGCTCATCAGGTTTATAGCAAAGGAGCCTTCTCGCGTTCCAGTAGTGTGGAAAGCATTAATGGAGTAAGTAATTTTAAATAATATCTTGAAATTTTTCGATCCTGATGCGGAAACACCATAGCTTGTTTGCAACAGGTCGTGCAAAGCCAGTGATTTATGATAAAATATACACGTTAGAAAACGTAATGGATGGGATGCGAGCATTGGAAACGCGGGAGACGTGGGGTAAATCTATCGTACGTATCAGAACAGAAGACAACAAAAAAGTGATTGCAAAACTCTGACAGTGGTATACTTATAATATGTATATTTCGTGTATGTGTATTCTTCCTATGTATCTTGTACCTCATTTGCAGTGCTACCGTTAAGTTCGCGTGGTGCTTTGATAGTTAAATCTTGAAGTATAAGGTGGCAGTGATTTTGCGCCACAGACTAATCCTTAGTAATAACAAGCGCCTGATTATACGTCAGACTCAGACTTCACTCTTGGACTGTTGGACTCGGACTACTCCAAACCATCCCTTTTCTACACGACACTCGGGCGCTTGGCGATGCAAGGATACGAAGAAGCAGAACCTACCGTTCGTATAAGGGAGGTGAAGAAAGATAGAGTCAACTTTGTATTAGAGAATGTGGATCTTGCGTTCGTTCACCTCCCTTGTATCATCTGACACTTTGAGGTGACCACGTATAAGATAGGTTTGCCAATTCTGTACGGAGAGCAGTAATGGCGGATATTCCAACAATTGGTGGGTATATCCCTGTCATCTTACCAAGTTCCGTTTCCTTATGATTGTCTGCAGCAATCGATATTGTTGAAATAGAGGCGAATACAACTGTTCTTCCCGACGAATTCATTGCACATCGACTCGGGATGGTACCTCTCGTTAGTGCTAATTGTGAGGAAGGCATACGGTATACACGGGTAAGATGTATTGTCAATCTAAAACTCGTTCTCTGATCACGTAGCCCACAGGATTGCACCTGTCTATCCGGTTGTCAATATTGCTCAATAGAACTCAGGCTGGATGTCGCCTGTCATGAGAACAGAACAATGGAAGTTACCAGCAATCATTTGGATGTTGTGGATAGCCACACGTACGCAGACGAAGGTGAAGCAGGAGAAGAGCTCACGAAAAGAGGAGAAAATTTTGGACATCCGGTGGGGAAAGGTGCGTGGCCAAGTATTGATCAATGGGTCTCCTCACATTTCTTCCAGACGATGTATCTCTTCCACCTGTCCTGATCTGTAAAATGCGGAAAGGACAAGAGTTAAAACTCCGTTGTATTGCTAAGAAGGTCATTTATTTATTTTGAGGAATGCAGTTATACTTACACCATGGATCAGGGAATCGCGAAGGAGCATGCTAAGTGGTCACCCTGTTCCGCTGTATCTTTTGAATACGACCCGTACAACAAACTCCGGCACACGACGCATTGGTTCGAAACGGATGAACGTGCAGAATGGCCACTTAGCGAAAATGCAAAAGAGGAAGAGCCTCCGAGAGACGATGAAGTCTTTGATTTCAATGCAAAACCTGGCAAATTCTATTTTGAAGTGGAAACCGATGGGAGTTTGGGACCACAGGAGGCAGTTATGAGGGTAGGCTCTGCATGTTTTCAGAAATATTACCCATTGATTGAAACGTTCACTCAAGGGTCTAGCTGAGTTACAAACTAAGCTTGCTAACCTGATCTTGGGCTTGAAAAGCCCACCAGAGCTGGACATGCTTCCAGGAGGTGATCAGGGCATGGCACCCCCTAATGGGCATGTTGCACCAAGCGGTGGAGGGTGGGGCCAACCTGCAACCGGAGGTGGTTGGGCAAGTCCAACTGCAGGAGGATGGGGTGATGCCGCTGCTCCTACTAGTAATGCCTGGGGAACTAGTCCCGCGAGTGGAAATGCATGGGGAGGTGGCACGAGCCCCAACTCAAATAATGCATGGGGAGGGGCAAGCGCAGGAGGAGGCGGAGCAAGCCCTAATGCAAACAACGCTTGGGGAACATCATCCACCCAACAGGGTTGGGCGAGTCCCACTCAGCAAACCAATAGCTGGATCCATTGATATTGGTATTATCTGTGTGCATTGCAATAGATTCAGACTCGTTTGTTGTTCTCCATTCACTTTCAATTCGAATCCGTATTTTGCCAGTGCAGTAATCCATAATTTCGTGAACTTCAATATATCCTTGACCAAGTCTTGTTCGCGTCTGCCGATTCACTGCACACTAAAACATTTCATAGTATGTGTTTGACTCAAATCCAAGCAGTGTCTCGTTTACAATGTGCGATAATGGTGCGGGTTGAATGTGAATTTCGGGAGGTTCGATAAATGCTATTGAGAACCTGCTATAAATGTATGTTCATGCGAACCAAAGTCAGCTACTTCCTCTCTTGCTTAAGAAAGTAGAGGCGGAGCGACGATTGCAGGACATTGCGTCTTCATTTTCATGCATTGCTTCTGCATAACTGGAACAAAAGCGTAAGGGGTATGTTACAGAGGGACATTCATCACTCACAGTAGCTTGTATCGCACTAGCTCACTTTCCATCTCTTCGTTCCGTAGACGAGCCATGACGAGTTCATTCTGCAAGGGAACGTCACCGATGGTTATTCAGCACCCAACTATCCGATTGTTTCCTTACCAAAAGTTCGACATGCTCAGTATTCAGCTGCGCGAGATCATTCTCTAAATGTTTCCTAAAATGAGCTAGTTTGAGCTTATCTACACATACAAAAAAAATATAAAGAAGCTTACACTTGGGCTGATAAATTGCGATTATGATTCCGCAACGTGTCCACCTCGATTGCATGGGCCTCGCGAGTGCGAACATGATCCTCATATTCATGAGAATATGCATCTAGCATGAAAGGGGTAACTTTCAAAGATATAGCGTCCTGTACAAATTCATCTACTCTATACTTAGTGTGTTTGTCATCTTGTGCTTCGAGTGTACTCGAATCCGTTGACTCTATCTGGTTAATAACGAATAAAAATATAAGGCTGATCAGAATATTACTCGTCAGTGACAACTTTCCTTGTATTTGTCGAACACGCGCGCCTTCAGGAAGGTCAGAATATCGTCAAATTTAAGTTGCAGAAGTGCTTCTTCATTTTTGTGCAGTAATACTATACTGAATGCGAAGATAGCTTCGATACCGCTGGCAAGACAATTGTCGTATATTCGGAATACAATGTCCAGAGGAAAGCTAACAGCAGGTTCAGCGAAATGCAAAAGAAACTCAACACTTGTTACTAACCGATAGCTGAAAAGTGTAAGAAACCACTGAGAAGCAAACATACTAGACTTGATCCCTTGCCGCAGGAAGTGTACATGCAATACAGGGAGTAGTTCCTCGACCAAGCGATCGAACTACAAGAACATTGAGGATGCTGTTCAGTCTAGGATAAAGCACCATACCTGATACTGAAAAGCGTCAGCAAAAGTCAACGTGTTCAACAGAAATACTTACTAAACGTAGTTGTAATTTTGGCATTTCAGGTAGGAAATGACCTCTAAGGTCATACGAATGCATTAACCGCACCAGAAGTGAAAATGCTTCCTCGTCCGGCATCTGAAACTAGTCAACTTTACGTTGCCTATTTTGTTCAAGTCAAACGTACGTTCAGGAGGAGAATTGCTACAACAAATGGCAACCCTTGACAATAGCCTACTTGCGTATCGTACCTATCTTTTTGGTCAGAAAAGCAAAATATTGATGTCAAACACTCCTACAATGAATATGCTTTGAGAACATTAAATAGATTTTCTTGACCAATGCCTTGTCCATCTGTGAAGAACTCATGGTGAGGGAAAGTTCTAAAATCTTAGTGTTAGTACCTTTCGAGATTGGGACTTTCGGGAGCGATGAAATCATCATACCTTCCCAGATCACGCGTTATTGCTTTCTCGTGAGGACTGGTCTCTTTCAGCAGTTTCAGGTATGTATCCTCGAGCTCCGTGTCTTTAGATGCTGCCCTGCCTCGAAGTTTCACGTAAGTCCTGAATATCATATAATGGAATACAGCAAAGTAGTACATTAACTGCCACATCATTCCACGCAAAGTATCGGGGATACCCTTCTCTATAGCTTTGGCTAGACTTTCCGGATTATCCGCCGCGAACTTTTGATAGTCTGTGGAGAAGATGAGGGAGATTCGAACCAATGCAATGGTATACTAGCCTGATATTACACTTCCCCAGAAATCTACGAGGTCGTTGTTGAGACGCTAGTATGATAAGAAGACTGGCAAGATTATCACACGTACCCCAATCGATAACGCTATCTACCTCAGCTTCTACTTGTTTCCGACGTTCATTGTGTAAACGAAGGAACTCCTCGTGTAATTTATGTTGACCATCAGAGTTGAATTTCGGACTGCCCAAGTCACTTTCGTCTTCACCCTTCTGTATCCCCAGACGAGACAAAACAAAGGGCAGGCTTGTGGATGACGGTCGGAAAATAACACTGGAAGCTGATTTTTTGTGAGCAGCATGTTTGGGCCGCGAAGGCGGTATGGTGTTAGCGAAAGCTGCATGGATCGTAGTCCGACGCTCAGCCTTAGATAAGGCAGACTGGTCAGAAGAAACAGAAAGTAAGCTGTTGTGGCCGGACAGCGGTACTGTAGAAAATCGTGAGTCGTCTTCCAGGTTTACTTCGTTGAAACTAGATTCAGCAAGCGATTCCCTTGAGGGTAACGTGGCAAATGCAGGATCTTTGGGAGACAGTAACGAGTCTAGTGGAGAATTCGACGATCCCGTCCCATCGGTGGGTATTTTGCGTGGATTGTCGTCTTGCATATTAGAATGTGTAAAGGCTATACGCTCTCATGGATTTCTTTGGGCGAGTCTGCGCTGGTAGCTTCACCGCAGGAAGCGGCATCTCAACAGTCTCAGGATTGTAGGCCCATGGTTGCCACCGTGCTTACCACATGCCAGCTCTTTTACTTACTTTCTTCATCTGAGGCAACCAACGTTTGGTGACTCAAAATTATGCCATCATTATGCTCTATATCCTTACCCTTACACAACATATTCCTGGTACCGTAGGTCTGCCTTTCAATAATTGACACTAGATTTGACACCGGATGTTGGCACCGAACACCGAACGACCCTCTGTCTCCAACGAATTTTTGGCACCATGAGTCCTTTGTGTCCTCCCAGCCCACAGATTATGATGGGCCGAAGACAAGACTGGTTGAAAATGCCCCTAGCTTCATCCCCACAGTATTAGAGGTGCCAGGTGTGCCCAGAGGGCGATGCTATAACGAAGTGCAGAATCCAAAATTCAACATCATTGAGTTGGCGACTTTTCCAAATTTCGGGCCGTTAACTGCGACGGCCGCAATCCGCCATAGTCAAGGCTACTCAGTACTTGTATTGCAGTAATCTGTATATCTGCCATCACCATATCTTATCTCCTTTCGTCCTGCAGCATTCCGGAATGACATCGGAGATCTTCGTACTTACTGGCAGAAATGTCATGCTCCCTGGGTGCGCTGACCCCCAAGCCGCAACGATCAAGGTCGATCTCAGTACGGGCAAAATAATTGATATTCAGTCTCATCACGCAAACAAAGAGTCTCTTCCATCGGGAAATCAGAACATTCGGTGGGTGGATGCTGGGGACAAGATAGTCCTTCCCGGTCTTGTTGAGTACGTCCATATTGAGATTTATTGGCAGTACAGCAAGTAACTGATTTATTACCCTAAAGTGCCCATGTACACCTTAATGAACCCGGCCGCACCGACTGGGAGGGATTTTGGACTGGCACCAGAGCTGCTGCTTCAGGTGGTATAACTACTGTGGTCGACATGCCTCTCAACTCGATTCCACCCACAACGACAGTGGATAATCTGGAGACGAAAAGGACTGCAGCGGCTGGGCAGTGTTGGACAGATGTTGCATTTTGGGGTGGGGTTATACCTGGGAACGAGGTGATTTTCGTAGACATTCCAAGTGATCAACGTGATCTGAAGAGTGAATGGAGTAGTCCCATTTGAAGCCATTAATCTCCGCAGGAATAAAGGGTTTTAAATGCTTTCTCATCGAAAGCGGAGTCGAGGTTTATTACATTTGATGCGATGTGTCGTCGACTTCATTAATCTCTTTCATTTCATACAGGAATTCCCATGCGTTTCTGAAGCCGATTTACATATCCACATGAAAGAGCTGCAGGTGAGTGCCAGTTTCATCGATTACTACATTGTACAATGATCGTATCACTGTATCAACAGAATGAATCTACTGTTCTATTATTTCATGCAGAAGTCGATAGGTCCACAACATCCTCCGAGCGTTCTGATGCAACTGATGATCCCACACTATACGGAACTTACCTCAGCACCAGACCAGAGGAAATGGAAGTGAATGCGATATCGCTAATCACGAAACTCCAGGAGGCCTATCCCTCTCTCCGGTGCCACATTGTCCACCTTTCCGCATCCTCTGCACTGCCAATCATTCGCGCAGCAAAGAGCCGCGGGCTCAACTTGACGGTAGAGACGTGTTTCCACTATCTTTGTTTGTCGGCAAACGAAATACCAAAAGGACATCCCGAATTCAAATGCTGTCCACCCATCAGAGATGACAGTAATAGGAATTCACTCTGGCAAGCTCTTAGAGAAGGATTGATTGACTGTGTTGTGTCTGATCACAGTCCCTGTGTGACAGAATTGAAGAAGCTGGAAGAAGGGGATATCATGGGTGCTTGGGGCGGCATCAGTACACTTGGTCTAGGATTGAGCTTACTGTGGACAGAAGGAAGAAAAAGGGGCGTCACGCTTGGTGACATTGTGAACTGGCTAAGCGAGAGGACATCGCACCTTGCGGGGCTGAGTGGCAAGAAAGGACAGCTCAAGGTTGGCTATGATGCCGACTTTGTCATATGGGATCCCGAAGCGGAATTCAAGGTTGTTTTGATCAGCGCGTCGTTATCTTTATTCCGATTCTGACACCACTTTCTATCAGGTGACAAAAGATCTGTTCAAGTTCAAGAACAAGTTATCGGCCTATGAAGGCATGGTCCTAACCGGTGTCGTGCAACAAACCTTGCTCCGTGGCCGCGTGATCTACGACAAGAGTCGAAATGGGTTTGAAGGCCTCAGTCCACTCGGCAATCTGCTCTGAGATAACACTGGGTGTCACTGGGTGCGCTCCGGTAGGAGTAAGTGTACAGAAGTAGGCAGGAAGTGCCAATTTGTTTATATATGACTCGCTAAACGTTTCCGGACTCTTCTCCGTCGCTTATCAGGTCTTATCCTGTTATATCTTGTGCAGTACCTTGACGCCTCGCTTATCGTGACTGCCACTACTGGATGAACGACACTGCTCACATCATGATGGTTGAATCTTTAACGAGCTCAGTTGTCTAGACTATGGTTTCTGTGATACGCGTAGGGAAGATAGCAAAGAACGCTGTGATAGCAGGTGCTGGTATTCAAGTTACATGCTATCAACTTGAGGTATCGCATTTATGGCAATGAGCTAGCTGAAGTGGGGTAGAGACTATCGTCTAATTGCTTAAAACTGCAGTAATAGTACTGCCCCAGCTCGGTTAGTTCGAGTGAATACAAATCATGAAATAGCCGACTTTGCTATAGTCAACTGATTACAGGCATACGATATAGCTTTGCCGAGCAGCAGGCTATCGTGACAGCATTCGAGTATCTTTTGGGCGTCGATGTTTCCGGAACAACCGACTCTCCTCTTATTATTAGAGTCATCAGCCACTGACTCGCCATCCCTTGCCGCGTTTCCTTGTTTGCTATATCTCTCTCCTTGTCCTTATATCTCTCCCAACAATGTCTTTCCTCTCCAGAATCCCTGCCTCGTCAAAAGGCATTCATATTCGCCCTCTATACTCCATCTCAACCGCCAATTCATTGTAAGTCTCGCCTGCTCGGGTAAACCATCTTGCATTCCGCATCGTTGACACGCATACTTCACCGTCCGCATTAACAGTGCCCACACCGTAGCTCGTAAGAGAGAAATGTCCTCCGCAACCAGTCCCCTGGTGGCATTTGGGCAAAAGCATGTCACCAAGGGTCTTGGGCGCCTGACCGAGGCCGTGATGACGAAGGGTGAAGGCTCCTATGTATCTTTCGAGGACGGGCGACGCATGCTCGACTTTAGCTGCGGAATTGGCGTCGTCAATTTGGGTTAGTGTAATTTTATTTCGGCTTGCGCTCCCTCGTGTTCACCACGTCCCTTGGTGCACAGGTCACTGCCATCCGAAGGTCAGCAAGGCTGCCGCTGATCAGTGCATGAACCTTGTACACTCCCAAGTGCGTATTAATCACTCCATACAGAATCACACTCCGCGTTTGTATTGAACATTTCCCGCTCGATAGTGTAGTATCGCTTTCCATGGACCTTACCTACACCTCATCGAAAGGCTACTACCTGTGATGCCTCACCCCTCACTTGATTCGTTCTTCTTCTGGTCATCTGGATCCGAAGCCATCGAGGCTTCCCTGAAAATGGCACGTACGATCACTGGAAGACAAAATATCATTTCAATGCAAGGTCAGTATTTTACAAATCGAGCTGCTCGATGGCATTAACCGTCAATGCTGTCCGTACTCTAAGGTGGATATCACGGACGAACATTTGGAGCCATGGCCGTGACAAAGAGCAAGACGGTATACAGTGAAGGCTTTGCCCCACTAATGGTATGTCATGTCGTCATACCGGGCTTTCCGGTAACTGGCTGATCGTCGGGCCGTGTTTATAGCCCGGAGTTTTCAGTACACCCTTCCCATACTGGCATCAGTATGGTGTTCCTCCTGCAACCAATGAAGATGAATTAGTCCAGAAATCCTTGTATCAATTGGAGCTTGTCCTCAAACAGCAAACAGCCCCAAGCGATACAGCCGCGATTCTCATAGAACCTGTTATTGGCGAAGGAGGCTACGTACCGGCCCCCGCTGCATACTTGAAAGGATTGAGAGAAATATGTGATCAGCATGGCATACTTTTGATTATTGATGAGGTCCAGACTGGATATGGTAGAACGGGTAAATTTTTCAATATCGAATATAGTGGTGTGAGGCCGGATATCCTAGTTATTGCGAAGGTGAGCTTATACGCCGCTTTAATTAACAAGCCTTACAATACAATTTATTAGGGTCTGGCGAATGGTCTCCCCTTGAGTGGTGTTATCAGTCGCCAGGAGCTCACTGACAAGCTCAAGCCTGGCTCGATGGTTGGTTGATTCTTGTTCGCGATGTTTCTTGACTAATAATTTCAATTTGGTTTCTACAGGGAGGGACGTACGCAGGCAACGCAGTTTCTTGTGCTGCTGCTGTTGCCGTTGCCGATGTATTCAAAGAAGAAAAGGTGCTAGATAACGTACAAGCTCGGTAACCTTATGCTTTCATTGGCGCACAAATGGCTTAACTAACCAAACATCTTGTTAGGTCACAAGAACTATTCGATTCGCTTACTAGCCTGCAGCAAAGCGCTGACGTGAGCTCTGCCATTGTAGATGTCAGAGGACAGGGCCTGATGGTCGCCGTGGAATTCGCCTCTCCGTTGTACTCCGCCAACGATCCAGCATTGAACCCCTCTGTACCTAAGAACATGGCATCCCGAGTTGCCAAACGGTGCATGGAGAAAGGCCTGCTAATTTTGACGACGTCTATATACGAAGTTATCAGATTCATTCCTCCCCTAAACATTTCTCAGGCGGATCTGGCAAAGGGATGTGGCATTTTTGCTGATGCTGTGAGAGAAGTTTTACGGGAAGGATGATCTATCTTGTCGCATCTAATACCTGTACAATGTAAAAATACTTGTATAGTATGTGTATACTAGCAGTGAGGTAATTTTACATATCATTCGCACAAACTCCCTTTTCTTAGGTTGACAAAGCGTGAGCGTGAGCGGCACCCAAAATAGGAAAATGAGGCTACCGCGTGCAAACAACGTCTACCAGGCCTGTATGGTCAGTGGATGACCAAGGGACAGCAAGAACGTCCCTCACTTTTGAGCGCGGCGCTCATTATTTTCATAAAATCCTGCTCATGGCTTATACTCTTTTCATTCCTGCCTTTATCTTGTTGCTGATTAGCCATGTGCATGGGTATATTCCAGCTTTACCCACGAACGACACCACCGCAGCAGCTACTCAGGGGGGACTCAACAACACAACCGATGTTTCTCATCTCCATATCCAGTGGTACTCTAATGGGTGGGCAGTCAGACCGGTCGTGCGTCGTATGCTTTGTCTGACTTCTTGATCTGTGACACTACCCTGCCAGGTCGTTTTGGCAAAATGTTTCCTACCAATTAGTCGGATGGAACAGTAGTGGGATAACCCAAGTACGTCTTTAAGCGCCTGTGACTTGATTGTCTCTAAGTTGTCGGTATAGGGCGCTCTCGTACACTTTGGGGAGGAATATGCTTCCAACGACACATGTACACTGTATCATCGCGTTCAAGAAGCCGATTACTTACTCGCGTCAATTTAGCAACGACACCGTGGATTGCTCTGATAGCTTGCGACTACAACTCCACACAAGCTTCTATGGAAGTTGATATATTCACACTTGCTCGTGAACGTGGAGCTCAATCCGCCGTAAGTTTATCATAAAAAAACTTTCTTTAGTACTTATCAAGGCGGCTTTGATTAGCTCCTATATTCGAACTACTCTCAAGCATGTATCATAAACCCTGCATACGCAGATCCTGCATCTTTTGATCAGGTTATGGATATCTTCTCAACTCAATCGCGCCCGGATGCACGGTAGATCAGAGTTAGTAGTTATCTTTAGTAAAGCTGACTATTATGTCCTTCTTTAGCGTTATAGAATATCAGTTTGGGCAATCTGGGTTGGCAAACGAAACACTTTACGAGTATTACGATGCCAAGCGGCTCAACGAATCTGCAAACACAGTCAACGAGACTATACAGAAAAATAACCCTGTAGCTCCCGGATATTTATTCGCAACCCTACAAGCATATAATGCAACTAGTGCTAGTGTTGGCAGTAACAATGCAAGTGGCGACAGTAATAACTCGAGCGCCCCCACTACTACTGGAAGCGGTGGTAGCCGACGGGAGACTGGTCTAGCGATGTTCGTGTTTTGCCTCACTGTAGCCAGATGGGCTGACTGATATCACCCCTTCGACTGTGATATCGTTTAGGATTATATTATACGCCATTACAGGCTGTGTCTCGGCTCTATTCTGTGTCGTCATCATATCCGGCGTGCGTTTTGTTGTTTTATTAGTGGATGCAGCATACTAACATCAGCATACTAACATTCGCTGTAGGCTATACGGGCGATTCGTCATCCAGAACGATATGGCCCTCGCTTAGCTGATGGCAGTTTCGGGGGTGCTGGTGGACATGCACGGAGCCGTGCAAGAGGTCTAGGCCGTGCCATTCTGGATACATTTCCCGTTGTCAAATTCGGTACTACATCAGAGGTACAGCAGGACAACTCTATTGATTGTCAGACTAAAGACGTGGAGGCGCAAGCAATAAGAAGAGATAAACCCGCTAACCCACGTCCATACACAGTGGAGATGGATGAGATAATGGTTACGGAATACGGTGATACAGAGGGCGTTTATCAAGGGATGCCAGTGCCTGCGGCGGTCGAAAGGTCAGCAGATACTGGTGTCGAAGAGATTCAAACAGAACCAACAGGAGAGAGTTCAAAAGATACTTCCATTTCGCCTCGGACCAAACCAGGGACCAGCGTCAGAGAAGAGCATGTCATGCCAGATGCTATTGGTCGGGAAACATGTCCGATCTGTATCGTTGACTTCGAAGAGGGAGATGATTTGCGGGTGTTACCCTGCGAAGGGAAACATATGTTCCATCAAAATTGCGTTGATCCATGGTTGTTGGAGCTATCAAGCTCGTGTCCAATATGTCGGCAAGGTAAGCTGAACACCTCAACTTTTTCACTATCATCGCCTTAATTTCAGTCCAGACTTCCATGCACTGGAAACTATGTTATCTGGGGAAATGGACGAAGATACTCAACGACATAGTCGTCCCTATTCGTCATCACACATGAACCGATTATCACGGTATCTACGATTCGCAAAGCGACGGCATGACCGACGAAGGCAGGAAGACGAAGATCCTACAGACCCTTACTGATAATTGTTGAACGTCTGATTTCTAGACTTATGTACGGCTAAAATATCTTTTCTTTTTTGTACATTTGATGATTTTGTATATCTATGTCATTCCTGTAAATTAATATGGACATGGATAGGTAGGTGATGCGTTACATTTGTATCTATTGAACATAATCCGATGATTTGTCTTTTGCTTCAGTGGTTCTCTGAATTTATGCGCGTGATGTGGCTACTCCATTTTCGATACGAACTGTTTGCCACATAGGCCCGTGTGTCGATGATGCGATGACGAACTTGAACGCCTTCCAAATATGTCATTGAGCCCATGATCGAGACGCGTCATAGCCGCGTCACTTTCGTCAGTGGTGCAGATCTCTGTTGGTCTCGCCCAGTCAGCTTCGAATCCCGAGCCTCTCCCGACAGTATATAACCCCCCACAGCAATCGTTGATGATTCATTAAATTTCCCTCCCACACCACCATATCACTTCAACCACTCCAACTTCCGTTTACTTTAAACAATGTCTGACACTGGTCGTCAATCTCTTACCGACAAAGCCAGCTCTGCTGTCAAGGTGATTTATACCTTCTTCTCAGTGCTTGCACTCCAGCTGCTGATGCATTAGTGTTCTTATACTTCCTTAGCCTGACTCCCAGAAGTCGATGACCGAGCAAGCCGGTGACAAAGTCAAGGGCTACGCCGACTCTGCTGCATCTACAGTTCAGCCTCAGGTACGTTTATTCCTTTCCCCTCATTCAGTGTATATACTTACGTCTTCGTTCTCGTAGGGCGATAAGTCGACCTCCCAACAGGCGGGTGACACTTTCAGCAGCAACTCCAACCAGAACCAAGTATGCAAACAAGGCGCACTTTTGCACATGTATCGTTGACATTTGATTTTACAGGGTGGTCTGCTTGACAAGGCAAAGGAGGCCGTTGGCATGGGTGGAAACCAGCCCCAGCAGAACAAATAGAGCATCACATTTTGTCTCAAAGAAAGGTCTGAACTGTATCATATGGACTTGTATTACATATTGTAAATTGGGGTTGTAATCAAAGATACATTGTCCACTGCATAGAGTTATTCAATATTCGTGTCAGCTGAACGTTCATAGTTTAAGCATTGATGTCGTTGGATGATCCAAATCTCAATTAAGGTTTGTTAGTGTAATCTTTATTCTCAGTTTCAACCCAACTGCAAGTCCAATCGAGTCTACAAGTAGTTCGTACTTCCGTCCATCATAAACTTGCCCAAGCCTCATTCACAAAAAACATTTAGCCACCAAATCGCGCGAGCCTTCTTCTGCGTATCTCGTCTAAGCTGATGCTCTCTTCTGTCACTGACTCCGAAGCTGCCGTACTCGTCTCTGCTTCTGACCTTGTCTCGTCCACCGTCTCTGCGTCTAACGCATTTGGAGCGGTGGCTTCGGATACTGGAACAGCCGTCCTGTGCAGGGGTGGGGTTGTTGGAATACTGAAACCCGGTGGAACGTCCTCTAAAGATGCTCTCAGAGCAGCTTGCAACTCCGCGTCGTCATCGTCATATACCGTGTGCGACAGCTCAGTATTTTGGCGGCTATATGTGGAGTGTGGTGGCTGATAATCCTCGTCCTCATCGTCGTGTTCCATGCCACTATCACCTTGGGCATGCGGTTGCGTCAGCTCTTGGGTACGACGCGACTCCGCTGTTGCACGCATCAGGTGCTCATCCGTATTTTCATGTACGCTTGGATGCCTAGTCCTCTCCATTCGGGCAATCTCCCCCTCGTATTGTTCGCGCAAGGCAATCTCCTGCTCACGTCGCATACGCTCCATAATTACACGATTACGTTCCATGCTTGCAGTAACTGGATCCACGTCTGCGTTACCAAATGGGTCCTGGCCAGCAGGTATACTGCTTCCTGCAGATCTGACTCCTGTACCTAAAGCAAATATTTTTTACATGAGTGAATTACATACAAGAAATTCGTCGTACTCAAAGGAGGTGGACTTAAGTGCGAAAAGGATAGCCCATGGGTAGACCCACCCATGAGGGAGGCCTGAAGTGCGGCTTGAAGCTCCATATCTTCGTCTTCGAAGCCTTCGATCCCTTTTAGATGCGATAACGAGGTGGCGGCAGATGTGTCGGCAGATGTGGATGAGAGAGGTAGATTAATAGACGAAGCGGAAGACGGCTCGGGGACAGTGGATGCGACTTCATCTGCATCGGTGCGAGGCAATGCAAGAGGAGCCGAAGGATCCACTTGTGTCACGACAAATACAGAATAGCCTGCACAAAAGTATAACGGAACTGCTTATATAGTCACAACTTCTCGGAACAAACTTACCGTCACTTTCCGCTTGTTGCAAAAACACATCTAGATACAATCTACCTACCCATTGTGGGGAAGATTCGAAAGAGTTGAGATTGAACCAGTGGCCGTTTCCCGAATCAACAGTTGGGTCGGGATTTGCGGTTCCGAATCGCCGAATTGTATACCAGTGCTGGTTCTGATTTAAGATAAAAGCTAGCTGCGTGCTATATGATCGTCGTCAAAAGGTGAACGTGACGAGACAAGACAAGGCGTACTGTGGGTGCGATTGATATGGTCGCATTTCTTCCGACCGCCAACGCACAAGGCTACGAATACATAAGCCCACTTCCATTATCATACAAGTGACTACAAACCTAAGACCCCAAATGTTCAAGGCGTGTTCTAGAACCTGAACAGAGAAAAATCCTGAAGAATGGTTTGACGGGTTCAGTATATTATTGGCCTGTATGGAATTTTACCTGTGTCATCCATGTTCATACTCGTAACACTAGCATCGTGATCATAGTGACCTTCCAGAGTGTCTAGATTCCTAGCGATGTCCGACAGATCGGGTGTAGTAAACTATCGAAGGGGTGTTAGATTTTTGCAGGGTAGCACATCTCCATACACCAACATAATTCCCTTCTATATATGTTGAGAAATTTGTTAGTTCATCTCTTGTGTGCATAAAACATTAGACTGAGTAGCTTACGCATGAGTGAATTAAGGGCGTGCTGGGCACAAAGCATGGACCCAGCCTGCTGTTTTTCATGGTAAATCATGTCCTTCAAGCGCTCCAGTTCAACCATGTTGATATCTTTGAATCGTTGGCTTTGGTTGTAGTAGATCTAAATCGATGTGAGTGGAACCGACAAGTGATTGCGCTCTTGAACGTTTCGTTTTGTGGTAAATTGGGAGCACGCGCGTACAGGACACGCGTTAATTATGTAAGCGGACGTGACTGGTCATTTCGCTACTTTTGCTCAGAACAGTTGCCCTCCGTCGTTCTGCCCAGCGAACAAGTTTCCTCGCTCGCTGCCATCCACAGCATCCAGCACAGAGTCAATAATGATTCTACGGCGACAGCTCAACACTAATATGACTCTCTTTCCCTTTCACCTTTTCGCCTTATTCCTCGTTCTCTCATCCGCACTCGTAGCCACGGCACAGGACAAGGAGTCAAATCCGTTCGACTGTCATGTCACTATAGATTCTCTCAAGTTTGACCTGACGGCACTCGCTGGTGTTCACACTGTATCACGTATACGCGAGACCCCGCCGACCTCGATGATTGATCAGGTAAGGTTCAACTTGTGTGACGATCTGCAAACATTGGACGGTGTAGAGGAGGGGGACCAGGTACGTATTGCTGCCCCTGCATCTATCGTACTTAGGCAGAAATGTTCCATTTTCTGTTTTCTTTGGATAGTGTCCATCAGGCACAAGGGCTTGTATGACGAAAACAAATAAGAAAGGGGATGATTCCGATCGAATAGTCGCTGTCATCCCCGTTGCCCAGAGCTCTCTACTTAAACCCGAAACGTCTGTAATCTCTTGTAGGTGACAGTCTTAAATGATATTGCTCATTAGAAATCTTTCCATGTCTTATCATAACTTATATGCTAGCACCCTCGGGCCTATCTCTCACGTTCCACGGCTCGTCATACCCCAACACAACATCCCCTCCTTCAATACCTCAATCCCTCAAACTTTCGCTTTTCTGTGCAAGCTCTTTAGGCGAGCCAGCGTTTTCCTCGTACAATGATGGTCAAGTCCAAGTTGACTGGAGTGCGCCATCGGGATGCAGTTCAACGGCGGATGATAAAGAACCGTCACCCGGTAATGACGACGAGGACAAGAAGGAGAAGGAAGAGCCGCAGGAGAGCGTGGGTAGTGGACTCGGATTTTTCTTCTTGGTGTAAGTGGTTGTCTACTAGGTCAATGGGTGGTTGACTCAAATAGGCGACACAGATTGCTACTAGCATTCATTGCTTACTTCGCATTGGGTGCCTACTATAAATACTCGACGTATGGCGCGCGTGGCGCAGACCTTATTCCGTAAGTGATATTTGCTTTCTAGTTATTCCAGCATGTATGTTAACTTGGTCATTCTACCAGACACCGAGACTTTTGGAAAGAAGTACCTTATATGCTTCAAGATGTTGTTTCTCACCTCTGCTCGGCCGTGCGACCACGTCGCTCATCCCGAGGCGGTTACATAGCCGTGTGATTTTGGTTTGTTATTCATGTAGCCACATAAATCGAGCTGGAAACATAGATTTGTTTGCTGGTAATGTGTGTAGAGAGGAGCTACGCGAACGTTTGGCCAATCGTGGGGTGTTCTGGTTAGTCTGGCGGTGAATAACACATGACCGAGCATATTTGTTTCTCTCTCTTTTCGTAACGACTGGACCACTACTGGATGCGTATGCAGACTGGATTTGATTGATATTTGCAGCAATACGATACATTGTCCCGAGTCATCCTAGTAAAAATTTAATCTGCGCTATTCGACAACATTGTTGGTTTTTTTGAATATATGCCCTGTCATAGGCTAATTGGATTCAGTTGATTTCTTCAACGTTCTGCCTTAGCTCGTGGATGAAAGTCATTGACAATGCTATGGCGTTATAATCTGCTATAATTTCTGGCCTTTAGCCGAAGTCAGTTGTTTAAGCGCTTGAACATCACAGCGTGACCGAGTCGCCATAAGCCATATCACACGAGACGCGACTGTCTTTCATTGGCAAGAGAGGTACATCTACATCTACTTAGGGGGTCGTAGGATTATATACATGGCGAAGAGAAAGTGGTATGTTGTGATTGTTGGCACTATCCCTGGCGTCTACACAACATGGTGCGTCCTTTATACCTACCATTTGAAGCGCAATCTCAGCGGCATTCTTTTTCTTTCTTTTCCCCAATGACATTCGACATATTCTTTCCAGGACGGAGGCTGCAACTAAGGTAGCTGCAGTACCTGGCGCAATTCACCAAAGTTTCCCCACTGATGAAGAGGCGCGTCGTGCATTTGAGAGGGCACTAGCTGCAGGAGAAGTGCGTGCTGTACCTGCCAATGTACCGCCACGTTCACCTGTCCCTGCTGTCAATGGAAGAAGTCAAGCGGTTATAAGTGGAGGATCCACCCACAGTGCTAGGTCAACAGTGCCCGGTTCTCGTGAGTTTGGTCGGAGCCGGAGTGAACAGTCAGTCGCAAGTACCGGGTTTCCTCGCACGGCAAGAATGAACATCAACAATTCTGAGCGTGATCGTCGAAGAGAAAGAGGCGTACAAGAACCTACTCAATCAGCACCCCCATCACCTCGTACTCCAACACGCAGTCCCGCCCATAATACGCATCTTGTTTCCGTTCGGGCACCCATTTTCAACCCGGTTCAAACGCGTCGTGCATATGTGGGTAGCCCCCTCCCAACTACACATAGGCTGCTTCGACCCTCAAGCCCGCAGGATGTGGATATGTCTATATCCTCATCACCCGAAACAGGTGTCACACAGATAGAGCCATCAGTGCTTAGTCCCTTGTGCCGCCTGTAATAACGTCGCCCCGGGTTTCGGTAGTGATTGGCCCTTCGTATCCAGATTGGCCTGCATCTGATATTGACATGGCTGAACACGTGGGCGCGTCTCAGCGCGCGCCATTGGAAAGTATGTTTCGTGGGGATGACATCAAGGGACCGTCTTCCCGGAGATCTTCACCCTCCAAAAAGGTTACCGAGTGGGCTGACTCACTGTCTGACTCGGCTGAAGATGACAGATTCTGGATACCGGGAGATCATGACATGGAGAGTGTCTCTGTCAGAAGGAGTGCACGGCATCAGTCAAGAGGGAAGGGAAGGGAAATGCCTATCAAAATAGAAAGCCGCGATGAACTCACCTACGGTCAGGCAAGCACGCCTGGTCCGGCACGACAAAAATCACGCACAGCAAGCGTGTCTCCACATCTCCGCCCCCTCCCCCGCGAATATCCCGAAAACATTTTCCATCACAGTTCCCCTCCTCAGGCCTCTGCACCAGCAGACGGCCCTTCTTTGGACGCATCACCGCGCTCGCACTCGGCTGCTCTCCAGTACAAGTTCGCCAACGAATATGCGCATGCGTATGCCACCGTATACGCACACTTTGCCACGTTCGGTGGTCCCGTTGGCGCAGGTGTCCTCCCTACAAGCCTCAGCGCGTCACTGGGTGAATTCAACACGCGAATGCACGGTTCGCAACCCGACCGAATGTTCGACCCGCAAGCAAGTCAAGGTTCGCCGTCAGGTACTCCGAGTCGTAGCCCCGTCGACCACCAACCTGAATGTTCTTGTTCTTGTGCGCGCAATTTGTCGCCCTTCCCTGAGTTTTCGCCGTTGCATGTCCGGCCTTTGTCTGTAGATCCACAAGGAGACCCGCGATCGCCATTTTCAAAGAAGACCTTTGTACCTTTACCTTTGAGTCCGTAAGTTGTCGATATGTATAGCCCATGTTCATTCCATGACGCGTAGACTCAATGAATTTACATATACAGGTCTTCAGTAATTGGCCGCCCGTCTCCTCACATGCATCTTGATGCCTTGCGAGAACCTCAGCTTGAAAGTATAAGCGCGCTACTCAGTCATTAAGACGAGCCGCCAAGAAATCCACGGTGATGCCCTCTGCGAGGACGTGAATGGTGTGATGTTGGCTGTATTTCTTGGAGATGACCGTGGCCGTGCTTTTCGAAACGTTGCGGGGGTGAGTATATCTTAAAATGAAGTGGTTGTCTTGTCTCAACAGTCGTTGATTTAGTACGTATTAACCTTGTATATTGATGTAACAATGACGTTCTATGTCCAACATTGTTCAATGTTGTAATACTTTCTTGCCAGTTGCCGTGGATCTGATTCAGAGCGCCTTTGTGTTGAAACGGGTGGTTCTTGTCTGGCAACCACGTGTCAGGTGGACAAACATACAAATTTTGCATTGATCAATCCGAGCACGACGAGCGATGGGTATGAAGAATAACGATGAATTCTTTTGATGTCCTCCTTATATTTATATTCCTCGCTCGAGTCATGGTAAAAGTAAACTAACCTAATGCTGAGTCAGTTGTTGTGACACCGTGTGACGAGAATATGGGTGGAGTAAACAAGGCCCAATAACGCGTTCTCGTTCTGCGCATCGATGGCTTCCCCTCCATCCTCTTTTTCAATCGCCTCTGGTTCCCATCTTTTATCCGAGTCTCCTCTTTTGCATGCATCTTTATCGTCGGACACTGGCCCAGGTGGTGCCGACCTCTCTCTTTCTGAGCTTTCTTTGAACGACAGACCAAGACACGGAGGACGTGTTGAAAAGCCGTTCAGGTTCAGCTTACTTGCACCCCCAGCCCAATACGATGATGACTCGATACTCTCTGAATTTGAAGCGGGGGGTAGTCTTCATTCTCCCACTGGCGATGGCGAAGAACAAGAAGATGAAGGTGTAGTGGAGCAAGATCATGATACCGTGCTTGCCAGGATGCACGAAGAGAAACTCAAGAACGACTTGATAGTTTTGAGACACATGAACTCTTCTTTTGCTTTGTTTAATGATGCGTTGCGAGCCACACAAACCGGAACTGAGGTGTGTTGCTTTCATCCACATTAAGAATCTAATGTAAAAGTTAACATTGCTGCCTGGTATTCAGCAAGTTGCAGTACAACTCACTCAAACTAACGCATTGCTCGATAAATACGTCAATATACTTGCGAAGTCGGAGATGGTCACAAAATTGATACTCGATGAGCGATGGGAGGGCGCCGAAGCAGTGAGTATTCTTACTTGCTTGCTTAAATTGTTTTCTTCCCTTCTAGCATTTTGTACTGTTGGCTGGTCCTTGGGATTCTTTGTTGACCTTTCGAAACTAAAATAATTACTGACGTGATCAACCAGGATGAAGAACTCCTCGAGCATGAGCGGCGTGAAATTCGTGAGCGTGCTAAACGAGAAGCTGAAGAACGAGAAAGACGCGAAGCCGATGAACAGGCACGTCGCGAAGCAGAGGAAATTGTGCGCCTTGAACAAGAGGAACGCGAACGTCTCGATCGTGAGAGGAAAGAACGGGGTAAACCAGGTTCCTCTTCCCGGGCACGGGGAAGTACGAGTGGCGTTAGCGTTGGTAGCGGTGTGCGAGGTGTGAGAGGGACAAGAGCGACTGCTATGGCTATGCGTGGTGGAAGAGGCATACCACGGGCAGGTAAGCATTCATGTTTGAACCTGTCACATTAGGTATGTTAATAGTGTCTATTCGGCCGTTAATCTTATAGCGCCAACAGGGACTACGGCAAGCCGTACACGCTCAACTAGCGCTGCTGGGAGCATTGGTGGGATGTGGCCAGGTTCATCCACGTCGATACGAGCGACCACAACACGGAATCCTGCACGGAGAAGTTGATTTCTTGGCGTTGATTCTATCTTAATCATTCAACCGATCTACAAGTCAACTTCTCTAGTATATATGACCTCTGGATTCAGATGCTTGTCCTCTGATATTCGGATGCGATGCAACTGAGCCGTCCACTTGACATAGATATGAAGAAGTCGTGCTGCCAAGGTGCTTCATACACGTGTTGGACCTATCCAATGTCTTCTCAGTCAACATCACCTGCCAAGTCCTGCGCGCTCTTTCGTGCATGGGGCCCGGGGTATATGAATCCCGACTCTATCGTGGCACATCCGTGCAACTTGGTACTCCTGGAGACGCTCTGTACTGAATTTGCATATTGCTACTATTGGAGTGCTGAGTGCTGTGGAAACAGCTGATGGAAATCACCCTGCTTCTGTGACCTTTGGACTCGATGTCTGGTGGTTCTGGACTTCTTGAAGCAGGGTAGGATAGAAGGTGTGGTGGTCCGGAAATTGTTGATTATACGTCCCGATAATGTCACGTTCATCCCTCGTATTATCATACAATCATGATATCTTCCGAAGTCATTATCAACCAATAGACATTTGTGCCAAGTCAACAACACAGCAGGTTGCTCCACATAACGTACACTGCTTCTGAATGGCTAGCCCTTATTCAGACCGTCACGAGCAAACAATAAACCAGTCATTTCGAAAGAACCCTCGAGGTCATCGCGCAAACGGGGTATCATAAAAGCATCGACTTGAACATGTATTCGACTAAGCTGAAAGCTATCTGTTACATGCACAAGCTACAACCAAATCAAACAGCAAGGTGTGGGGTAGGAGTCGGATAAGGTAGATCAAAAGGAAAGCGGAGGAAGAAAGGGTTAAGGGGGTGATGTGTAATGTGTTCAAAGTACGTCAGTAACTGTACAACACAAAAAGTCCAGAGCGTCCATGCGCAAAAAGTCCAATGTCCAGTGCAAAAGTAAAGTCCGAGTGCAATTGTTCGTGTCATGATGAAGAATGTCCTTCCCTTTTGTATCTTTTCTCTTTGTTACTAATCAACGAGGAAGCCATAGTCCACAAATGTCGTTGTGCTTATTGCCTCAATCGGAGCTAGAGGCAGCAGCGATAGCAAACACCCCACTCCAGTCACCAGAGTCACCGAACACTAATTAGGCAAAGAATGTCAGCATAATCCGAGTGCAGAAAAAACATTAAAGTCAATACTCACGAACGATACGGTAATCACTGCCTGGAGTAACATCAGGCACCGTCACCTCTTGAGAACCGGCCAGCATAGAAAAGTTAGATGCCAAGGTCGGGTTAAGGAGGGTGTCGTTTCCTTGACGGAGATAGATGTTCCCCCGAGGGTTACTTATCTGCGCTGGGGGGTTTGTGGTGTTCCAGGTGACGTTGTAAGTCTGTCCAACCGTCCAAACGGTGGCATTATTTGGGCTGATAACGGGTGGCACATACACGTCTCGCTTAGCAGAAACGCGGGTAGGCAGGGCAAGAGCAAAGGAGAAGAAAGTGGACAAGAAGAAGAAAAGGGCGAAGACAGAGGTTTTGGAGATCATCGTGACTGAAAAAGTGTGGGTGGTCGTGAGGAAGATTCGTCAGTAGTAGTGGTAGTAAGAGATGATGAGGGACGACAAGGAACAAAAAGAAGAAAAAGAAGGGTCCTTATATACCTTCCTAGTATAACGTTAGCATAGCTAAATCTGAAAATGCATGTCCAAAGGGAGACCAACCTGCGCCGCCTCGTGGACCTGCTAAAAGCCACTGAGTGGCTGCCTTTGGAACTTCCTGAATGAACGCCACTAATAGAGGTGACCTGAGTTACCCGCCGCAGGCGTTTGTTAGAAAATCGACGGCCCTAAATTAGTCACACTTAGAGGGCATAATGGGCATTCCCTAAATTGCTGAACGTGCCGAAGGGTCTGTGGGGTTCGAGAGCTGCCTTGCCTCCCATTGCAGTGCCCTCGATCATCCCTGAAATAACACCGAACGCATCGGGAAACCCCAAGGAGGTTAAGAGCCTGGAGTTGTTTCAAACGGTCTGGAAATACCGTTGGAGTGTTACGATCTGACACGAACTGCTGACATTCCGATGGCCATCATTAATCCCTGTAATAAGAATCACGATAGAAAAGCTGAAATCACCTTTATATTGTTCTCCACTATCACGCATAGACCATGTGTAGAACCGGGTATAAGAAAGAGCCTCAGCTTTCCCCTTCTAATTCATTGCAGTGAGCTGCATTGCAAGCTGAACCATGCGCAGTAAGTATGATGAATCAAGACTAGAGCACATTCTGATGCTAAGACCGCCGTATGTGTTTCAAAGGCATCAGCCAAGAAACGCTGGCAAACACGATATCATGATGAATACTTATGCTGGAAAAGACCATTCAACAGTTCTATCCAGATATATCTATGATTACATAAGCACTTTTTCCATCGACGGCTTTCAGTCGTGCTCAACCACTACTCTTTTGACTTTCTTAATATCTGATCTGTCACTTTTGTCAGGTTCCACAGGAACATTAATAGGACTACGTTCAAAAGAATGATGTTACAAAAACGAAAAAGAAATGTCGAAGATGATCAGGAATCAGACTCCAGCGGCTTTTCCATAGTTCAGGCTCTTTCAGAAGACGAAATCGATATCTCATCTGCTCTGACCGGTAAAAAACTGCTTCGAGATGCACCTACATCTATTGAAGCGGATGGTGAAGACGATGATGACCTAAAAGATATAATTCACAACTCCATAGCGAAGCGGAACGTCAAGGGTGGGACAGAGCTACTCAAGAAAACGAAAGGAAAAGCAAAAATGGCCAAGGGTGAGGTTGGTGGAGGCAGTTTCCAAAGCATGGGTGCGTCCGTATTGCATACGTCTATAGCTTCAAGTTGTATTGTTGAAATACTTTTTCATAGGTCTTCACCCTTCTCTCTTACGTTCTCTAACCCTCCAGGGTTATCGCACACCCACTCCAATTCAACGCCTTGCTATTCCTTCTCTCCTTGCCAATCCACCACGCGATCTGGTTGGAATGGCACGAACAGGATCTGGAAAGTCACTAGCATATATGATCCCTCTCGCCCAGCGGCTTAGTGGTCGACACGCTTCAACTTTCGGTGCACGTGCCCTTATCCTTTTGCCAGCTAGAGAGCTTGCATTACAGGTCCTTCGTGTAGGCAAAGACCTGACGCGTGGATGGCACTCCAGTGAGGGCGCACATGCTGGTGATGGGAAAGGTGAAGATGGAGGAAAGGGCCAAAGTCTAAGATGGGGCTTGGTGGTCGGTGGAGAAGGTTTGGATGAGCAGTTTGAAATGATCACAAGCAATCCAGACGTGTCCGTTTTTCCTCCCTGTTTACCATAATATCTGATAGCTCATGCTTACTTCTAGTATTATCGCAACACCAGGTCGTCTACTACATTTAATAGTGGAAATGAACCTGGACCTAAAATCTGTGGAATATGTTGTATTTGATGAGGCGGATCGTCTCTTCGAAATGGGTTTCGAGACGGCGCTGAATGAAATTCTTCACCGACTTCCACCCTCCCGCCAAACACTGCTCTTCTCCGCTACACTTCCAAAATCTCTTGTGGAATTTGCCAAGGCTGGCTTACAGGACCCCAAACTCGTACGATTGGATGCAGAAAGCAAAATAAGCACCGATCTTCGGATGGCTTTCTTTTCTATCAAGCAAGCTGAAAAAGATGCCTGTCTCCTCTCCCTTCTCAGGGATGTGATTCGTGTACCTCTTGGCAGCACTGTTCCTGAATCAAATACAACTACCAGTACCTCGACTAGATCTCGCAACGACAAGGGCAAACGCAAAGAACAACAGCACACAGCTCCACATCAAACTTTGATTTTCGCAGCCACAAAACATCATGTGGAATATCTATCACAGTTGCTCGCTGCCGTTGGATATGCTGTTTCACATATTTACGGCGCGCTAGATCAAGGGGCTCGAACACAACAGATGGACCACTTTAGGCGTGGTTTAACTAGCATACTCGTTGTAACTGATGTTGCTGCACGTGGTATCGATATCCCAGTCCTCGAAAACGTGGTCAACTATGATTTTCCACACGGTGCAAGGGTGTTTGTACATCGAGTAGGGCGAACGGCGAGAGCTGGAAGGAAAGGTTGGGCGTGGTCGTTCGTAACGAGCACAGAATTGCCTTACCTTCTCGACTTGCAGCTCTTTCTTGGGCGTCCATTAACAAACGAAGTGCCAAAGGGAGCTGGTGAAGAAGCATACACTTCATCGCTTGTGCTAGGCACATTCCAACGTGAGAACATTGACGAGGATGTAGAGTATGTTCGTGCTCTGGACGCAGCACACCACTCACTTCCCACATTACGAGAAGTAATGCGTCGTGGACAGGGGCTGTACGAACGGAGTAAAGGGAAAGCCAGTCAAGCAAGCTATAAGCGTGCCAAGGAAATGGGAAAGAGTGGTCAATGGGCGCTAGCGGGTGCTGTAGAAGCAGGCGTGCATCCTGTGCTTATGATGCGTGGGGGAGTTGGGGAGAAGGCGATAGATATGCAAGAGGAGAGGAAAAAGTTGATGAAGGTTGTTAATGCATTCAAGCCGGCGGAAACAGTATTTGAGGTTGCTGCAAAGGGAAAAGGAAAGACCAACGGAGCCAACTCATTGTTAATGAAAGAAAGGAGGAAAGCGCTTCAAAAATCGGCAGCAAGAGCTACACTGGCTTCCACATCTGCTGCAGCTCCAGATTCGGAAGATGACGCGGAGCTTGGAGAAGACCACTCTGAGCGTGAAGAAGTGGAAATGGCGGATGAACAAGATATTGCAGTATGTCTCACTCCTTTATTTATAACTTGACCTTCATGTTTTCCATTCTGCAGACTGTTTTCCAAACATCGAATAAAAAACGCGGCAAGGACAGTTATCGCGATGAAGAATTTTTTATGTCACATTATCAAAAGGATGCTTTGACGGAGAAAGGGTCCGTAATTTCCACGGATATCTTCCATTTCCTAGCTCATATTTTAATAGTTACTCTCTAAATGACGGCGCATCATCTTTCGCGGAACAAGCCCGCGGAGCCACATTTGATCTCGCAGGTGACGAAGCTACTGTCGCCGAACGTCAACGTCACAAGCAGACATGGGATAAGAAAAAGAAAAAATTTATCAAAGGCGATGGAGTTGGTGCAGACAACGTCAAGCTCGTTCGAACAGAAAGTGGGACCCGTCTTCCCGCGACTTATCGTAGCGGCCGCTTCGATGAATGGAAGGCAAAGAGCCGAGTTTCACTGCCAAAGGTTGGCGAAGCTGAGCAGGAGCGGCACGGGTCAAAATTAGGTCCAGGAGGTCGTAAATACAAGCATAACAAAATTGTGGAGGGGAAGCCTCTAGACAAACTCAGCAAAGACTATGAGCGCAAGATGCGCCAAAATAAAAAGAAAGAGACGACAGATGGAAACGAGGATGGTGGAGCAACAAAGTCTAGCTCGTCGAGATATAAGGGTGGAAAGGCCAAACCTGCTGGAAGATATGGTGGGAAGTCGATAGGGAAGGTTAGGACCGAGATCAAGACAGTTGATCAGATACGGAAGGGCAGGAAGACGCTCCAGCAGAGAAAAGCTAAGAATGCACGACCCAGTCACAGCAAAAAGGGTAGGCGGTAGATTTATTTCTGAAGTTACTACATACTTCATATCCTGCATTTATGTGGTACTTCTGTTATATTTACATTTATGATGCGTCGGAATATTCCCATTTTGCTCCAGAACCCGGTATAACGGATATATCAATTCCTTGAAGGAGATCTACTCCTACACTTCGCAGAGCGTTGACACACCATTCCGGATAGCCTTTATGTCCAAAATAATTGGCGAAGAAGGTACGTAGATAGTCAGGGAATCGGCCTTCAATGATAGCAGTTCGTGCGCCTCCCATGACTTGAGCTTGGAAAACGAGGTTATGTTGGGTAACGACTAGGATGGATGCATGAAACCAAACACTGATGCCAGCTGCAATATGATGGTAGCATACCGTGTGCGCCCGTTGTCTCGAGGGTTACGATGTGATGAAGCATGGACCTAGATATTCCGCCACTACACGTAGGACATGGACAGTCACTATCTATGGGTTCAAAGTTCTCGGCATGTTTTCCAAGTTCTCGAGATGACTCTGTTTTAGCTTCTCTGGTGAAGAGGGAAGGACAGTCAACTCACTTAGATTCAATGGACCATTGAATGTCAGGGCTACACCGAACCTTGCTGTTCGTGTAGGAAATACACAATCGGCCTAAAGCTTGAAGATTTAATGGATATATGCGCTTTGAAAATTATATTACCATGTCAACCCCAAGTGCTACACAGATTAGCAGATCTACGTCAAATTTGAGATCATTTCCTTTAGATCAAAGAACATATGTCTTCAATATGCTCACCTTCAGCAAATCCTATTCCCATTGAGTATCGTGGTCCTGATAGAACGGATTAACAGTACCGCAAAGCGAGAAAAAAAAATAGGACTTACGGTCAAAAGGGAGTTTATCGGCACACTGCTTTATCCTGTGTGCTATCAGTAAATGTAGAGAGGATTGAACGTCGAAGAAGTACATTCTCCAAAAGACATCTGTTTGAATAGTTGAAGGACAAATTTCGCAGCAACCTGCATAAACTGACCTTTCTCTTCCCCACCACTAAGACCGCCTATTGCATAACCAGCAACGCGTTCCTTCCTCTGAATCATTTCGTCGAGACACTGATCTCGCAAGTCGGGGTCTAGGCCACCTTGCACAATAGCGAACAGATTCTGAACATCCTTGCGTCCTGATCTATCATGTTGTTCGATACATCGATCGAGCCAGCGCACAGAGCGCCTCATAGCCTCACCCACTCGAGGACCAACGGTTAGACTGGAAACTGCGATATCATCTGGGATTACTTGAAGGACTGAAGCATGAAGGGGAAGTGCTTACCTACGTCATCGAGTTGCATGATAATATCGGCGCCGATGGAGTGCTGTATTGATATACTTTCTTCGGGCTGGGTGCTTTTCGATTATATATCCAAACAAGTTAATATCGATACTAAACACCTACAGTTAACATGGTAGGTTCCCCGGTGAAAGGACTCGCAAATAAAGCACCTTCTTCGGTGATCTTCGTAAATTTACTCAAAGATACCAATTGAAATCCACCACTATCCTGTAATAATGATTACAGGTTAGTGGAAATAATCTTCCGATGCAGACGAGGTAGGTTTACAGTTAGCAGATTACGATTCCATCCTTGGAATTTGTGTGCCCCTCCTGCTTCGTCAAGAACTTTGATTCCGGGTCGTAGATTGAGATGATACGTATTGTTCAGGATGAGGGTAATGCCCAGAGATTCTACTTGCTGAGGGGTCAGGCCTTTGATTGCGGCTTGAGTTGCGACAGGCATGAATGTAGGAAGCATCGTGACACCATCTATGACACATGTTCCAAGGTCCTTCAAAATGAAAAATAAATAGTCGTCTATCGACTTACGAGCAAGTGTCATTTTGGACACACGAGCTTTAGTAGTATGGCATTTAGCCAGAACCTCAAATTGCATGGAATGGTATGTATATAGTCAATTGGAGGTATACTTCGCTACTCCGGGAACTATGTCAATTCCTGTCTGGATAAATTGAATACTCTTCAAATTACTGACCTTGAGCCGAAATTATTACAACTGCCTTGATTTTATGGACGATTTGGTTAATCTATAGACTTGACTGCACTGCCACTACCGAATACTTTGGACACAATCTGGTTATCCTTTTATGGACTGCAATTTTTGTACCTTCCGAATCCCGATCACGTCCTGGTCCAGTTTCTGGTCCAGTTGTCACAGTCATCGTTTGCATTCGCAGAGAATGCTCCATTTTGGTCGCCATGTTACACGCAAAAACATATCGTGTCGCTCAATAAATTTGAGACGTGCTCATTATCTAACCAAAGACCTAGTGGGCGAATTGCACCAACGGGAGCTAGTCGCTGACATTACCAGGTTCGCATTTACTTGTAATTCCATAGTATCTTACTACATCATACTAACTTGATTTCTGGCAGACCAGGTGAACTTACCAAAGCTCTGGAAGCACAACAAACTGTCTATGCTGGCATTGATCCAACTGCACAAGCGCTACATGTCGGCCATCTGTTGCCTCTGCTTTGTCTGCTCCATTTCCAGATCAGAGGGCACTCCATAATTACGCTTGTAAGTTGTGTAACTCCTAAAAACATAGGTTTTTTTGAACATATCTAGGTTAGATAGGCGGTGCAACTGGACTTGTTGGCGACCCGTCGGGGCGGACCGCAGAGCGACCGTTGGCGCAACAGGCCAAGGTGGAGCTAAATACTGCAAAACTAGCAGAAGCCGTGAAGAGGTTTTTTTCCAGAGCACAGTCACATATATACGAAAATTTCCCTTCGGAAGCTCGAACCACGCAAGAGGTCAAAGTTCTGAACAATAAGGAATGGCTAAGTGGCTTGAATTTATTAGATTTCCTACGACATACAGGTGTCCATTTCCGTGTCAACCATATGCTAGCTAAAGACAGGTATGAAAAATACATACTTCTCAGTCTATCTCAGTAATTTATGCTCATATTTTGGACAGTGTACGCACGCGCATGAGTGCTAAGCATGGCATTACCTTCACTGAATTCACATATCAACTTCTCCAAGCATACGATTTCTACAACCTTTACAACAGAGAAGGATGTGCTATCCAAGTCGGTGGTTCAGACCAATGGGGCAACATTGTCGCAGGACTGGAGTTGATCAACAAGGGAGAATCAGATAATTTGGACCCAAAGGATTCTTCTCAGCTAGAGAGAGAGAAAGGTTTTGGGATAACTACTCCCCTACTGACAACGTCTCAAGGAGATAAATTTGGGAAAAGTGCTGGTAATGCTGTATGGCTGGATGAGCAATTGACAAGCTATTTCGACTTCTATCAGGTAAGTGGTCATCACCTGACTATGAATAACACTCATGTGGATTCAGTTTTTCGTACGGACTACAGACGGGGATGTGAGCAAGTACTTGAAAATGTTCACGTTGTTACCACCTGCACGAATCACGGAGATTATGATCCAGCATCAGGTAGCTATAATCTTGCTTTCGTTCTTGGCAGTTGACTCAGAGACGTAAAAGGCTCAGCCAGAGAAACGAGTAGCTCAGAGACATCTGGCAGATGAGGTGACATCAATGATCCACGGCAGTACGTGCAGCTCTCCCGAGATACATGTAAACCGAGTAACACTTCCCACATAGAGGAAGGTCTTGACGCTGCCCATATGGCTACAAAGGTTCTTTTTGATTCGGATTACCACAGCCTTAAGGCCGAACAAATTGTCAAGGCCTTACGTGGTGATGCCCGTCTCGCTTCTGTGAGAGCTGAAGAACTGTTAGGCACTTCAATATCACACCTAGCCGCTGTTCACGGCCTTTTAGCATCAAAATGTAAGTACGATCCCTTCATATACTACCGTTTCCATTCAATGAACTGCATTTTGTAGCTGACGCACGCCGACTTGTGAAAGCGGGAGGATTATACCTCAATAACAAGCCAATAGAAGATGCTTTCTTCAACGTATCTAAGGCGGACTTGATTGATGGTAGAATAGCCATCTTACGTGCTGGAAGGGATAAACATCTAGTGTTGGCTATAGAGTGAAAACACTACAAGAAATGTGTTTTGGAGTACTGTAGAGACTCGCTCGATTAACTGAGGAACAGTTCATGTTTTTGTAGATATCTTGCTATCGTTCAGTCGACGCGGATGGCACTATATAGCCTACGGATTGCCCAGTATGAAGCCAGGAACCCGATAGTACCTAGAGCCTACGTTAGGATATGATGTCGCTATGGAAAAGGAAGACTTACCAGTGACTAAGAAGTCCATTAATACAAGAAGGAAGAGGTAACCTAGATAAAGAGCAACACTAGAAAAGGAGTCGAGAGATAACCGGGATGCCCAGTAGAAGAGGCCATAAGCTAACAGCCAGAACGCACTTCCACCCCCTGTCAAAAATGCCCGCCAGTGCCATCTACATGATTTCATGAGTTAGACTCGGTTTGTAGAATAGGCTGGACAACTTACCTGTATTCCTCAGCGCATAGGATGAAGTAGGTGAAAAGTATGGTTACTGTGGCAGTAGTGAGCGAGACCACACCTGCAGTCAGAGCCAGGAAGCCGAATGCATAGTACGCTCGTGATGCGAAGAGGCTGGACATAACAAAGTACAATTCGACAAAAGCAGCTCCTGCGTGGAAGTTAGAGGGGGGATTTAAGAGAATAGTATGAAGTCATACCGAACGGAAGTATGCCACTTAGGAGAGTTGACGCCTGATGAAGAAAATAAGGATAAAATCTAGTATAAATCTGAAACCTCATACCCAAGGGCGCAGGTACTTTGGTGCTGGAGGAATTTGCCTTGGAATTTGGTTTACTCGAACAGGATGAGAGACACCCTGCGGCCATAATCAGACATCGATACATCAGATAGTAAACTAACCTACACCTTGTCTCGACCCGATGTAGGACCCTACAGCAGATAGAGGTGCTGAAATTCCGAACCATAGAGTTACAATTAAGAGCATTGTGCCTTGGGAAATTAAAGGCATATTGTATAATTTCTCTAACAAGACGTGAAACACGGCAACACATACCGAAAGGCACAGCACCAGAGGAACCTGCTAAGAGAAGGAACAAGTTGAGAAGGAAGATGATAACGAATATCAATCTAAAAAAAGTCGGTGAAAATCTCCAGTAGTGAGATTGATAAAGTCATGGACCTACGTAGGCATAACAGTAGCAGTCAAGAACGCATTTTTTCTGCGATCTGTACCCCCTAGAGATGCATATATCCTGTTTGAATAGTATCCACCGATTCTGAAAAAATATTGTAAGCCCCGACGCGACTCATTTGGTCGGGAAAAATTAGGTTTAATTACCCTCCGAAGAACGTCCAACAAACCATCATAACAGTAGCAAGAGAGCCGCGGTTCGATGGAGACAAGAATCCCAATAGCGCAAACACTATACGCGGAGTATGTCAATGAATATTACAGGTAGAAGAAGTAAGGTATACCAAGGGTTACTGCGATCATGGCACATAATTGAGCACCATTACCGACCATCACGGATAAGATCATTGGATAACGTGGTGTGCGGAACACTTCCCCATGAACAAGTTTCCAGCCCCAGTCTTCTTGGACATCTTCCTGTAGTGGATAGTATGTGTTAAATTAGCCCACCATAAGCATGAACAAGAAAACATACACTAAGGTCAATGGCATTGTATCGAGAAATCTGTGGAAGGTCAGCCTTGTCTACAAGTCCTAGACCTTCAAATCACACACATCTCTAGAAACAGTACGCAAGAGAATCATAGACACCATAACGCAGAGGAAAATGACGATGACGAGAGAGTTGACCAGACTGAACCAATGTATACGCGGATCAAATATATGAAGGTAATTATCCCAACGAGTGGCCTAGAGAAATATAAACGCGCACATCAAATTTATTTACCAGTACAACTCACCCAAGGTGTATCAGATTCCTGATTTAGCACTGAGTAAGCGTGAAAGGCTAAATGGGAGACGAAGTCTACTTACATTCCACGTTACTCTGTAAGTGTAGCGAATTGTGCTCGTTTGCGTTTCAGACAGAATCAATGGCCCCACATCTCCCTCACAGACTGGGGAAGCTACATTTTCCTGAGAACCGCCGCGACTGGTGCAAATGATCATGAGTTAGAACAATGCGACAACACAAGGCATTAACTGACAATACCTTGAAGGCCAAACCAGGACACCGACTACCCGATAGTTGCCACGACTGGGTTCGTGGTATCTGGAAATGAGAAAGTGAGATTACATCTATTATGAGGCTAGATAGACAGTCAAACCTGAGAACAATGTCGTAATGATTGTATAAAGCTGGCGTGTCATATAGTTCGTCGTCGTCGTCACCCAAGTTAAAGCCCATATCAAAGAAAAGGTCGCCACTCTTGGCGTCTACCTTCATTTCTGCGGCAGGGAGTCCATCAACTAGCCAGTTTAATGCATAGTCTTCTCGGATACGGTCGTTGATGAATTTCGCATCTTCCGCTGGTACGTCTGGCACCACGCATAACGTTTTGCAAGTGCCATTGTCTTCTAACATTTTGATCTATACAAAGTTAGAGATAAGTTGGAATATCATTTACTGAATGGTGGTAAGTATGAACTCACGTCGTAAGGTGAGTTGAATATCCTGTCTCCAAACAATATGGATCCCAGTGACTCTGGCTGGCTCTTAGGACCTTCTTCTGGCTGGCAGAAGTGAAACTTTGGATTGTAGTAGTCATCTACGGATATCACATAAGCATAAACAATAGATATTGTTCGTGGTAATCTATAACTCACAGTTTATCATGGATTTCTTGGGATATGTCGTTCAGCATAATGAGGACATGTATATGAATAATATACGATACCAGCTTTGCATCATCTGTACCAGATAGCATAGGCGTTAGAGTGTTGACGAAGAGGTTGACTTGCTCTCCTTGTTCATAGTTGCGAGGTGCTGCACCGGGAAGATAAAATGCATGGGACAAGGGCAGTAGGGCAGTGATGATGCTGCCTAGAAGCCAATTACTTCGATGTACCATGATGGTAAGAGACAAAAACGAGCTCAGGTAGGTTCGCTATGGTCTTACAGATGTCTGCAAGGCAAGTTCGGTGTCGACGTGGTGGGTGTCTATAGTACTCAACGACGAAAAGCCTATTCAGAAGCTACTCGATCTCGTGACTAGCCGGCGGTACCGCTTACAGCCGGTCTTTTACCATTCAAGCAATAATGGAGCAGCTTGGCACAGACTCCCAGGACGTTCATTGTTACCCACTCTTCAATTTGAACTAAATACATATGTAGAGAGCGTCCGAGGGCGTGGTATCAGTCGTTCACATTTTGCTGTGACCTCCTCGGACTTCAGACCGTCATCCACGCACGTTCAGCACTTTTGTTACAATGAATTCTTTCTGGTTTCGTGGATTTATCATACACTACACTTGCCTCAACATCATATTTTACGCATTTCCTCAGTGATCTCATGGAGAGCCTCAAAATGCCCATCAAAATGCCTTCTCTTACTTCAGAAACTCGAGAATTCTTGCCGTTATGAACTCGACGTCTGAAGGATTAGCGCCTCCACCGGCTGTTTTTACATGTCAATCCTTGCACTTGAAACGTAAAATGGCTGGCTTACCGACATGGCCCCAAACGGTATTAATGACGTGCAATTTCGCATCCTTCAGGTGAGATAACTCATTCTGACTGTCTTCAGGCTTCTCAAAAATCAATATCCGTTTTGCGGTGAACAACAAAGAAAGACGAACAGGGAAGTATAAATCTGTTTTGGAAGGCATGAGTAGCGCTTTGGCTTTTATGCTGCTCAACGCTTTTTCATAATTACCACCATCTTGGACCTTTGAGATATCTCCATTTTGCCAAGTGGAGAGAAGTGCTATCATATCGTTAGCATCCCAGTATTGAAGATAGCGGGCTTCCCAGCGTTCCCTGATGAAACTATTCAAATCAGGGTATCTGGCGAGGTAAGTGCATTGTCCCCTCAGCCTTCCTGAAAATGAGGACAAGAGCAAGTCTGACGCACTCTCCATTCATCAGATATTTATGCTCTCTAAACCACTGAAGGTTTTCGCAGAAGTTTCAGAACCCATTTAAGCACTTGAAGTAGAAATCCAGCCTCACGGTTTGTCCGTATGCCCATGCACTGTAAACTCGACCAAAGGCTCGGATTCCATGTTGTGGGGTGGTGGTGTAATGACCATCAGCATAATCTTTAGAGGCCAGCATAGCGGACTTCGGGCCTTCCAGGAAACTATTATCATTTTCGTATCAGCGAGAAGGGAAGCCAGTGGAATGTGTTACCATTTATTGTGGAAACTTGTTCTTGCGGACGAACAAATAACGACAAATCGTTCTACGAAGTCAGGGAAGACGACGGGCCAATGATATGACTAAAGGGAACCAAATTATTAGACTTGTCCAACGGGAAACGCAAGAAAGAACCTGTTGACCACCCATGGAAAATCCTACAACACAAAATATTTTTTGAACGCCAAGTAATTTGGTTAGGACGGCATGTTGCGCCCGACTTTAATGCAACTTCAAAAAATCTTTCCTACTCAAAGGCCAATTTGTCCTCACATGTTATCTTCGTAGGAAACAGATGGGAAATAGGCACCATTATATGGTGCAGGCTTCGAGTCAAGTTCGATCAGCTCATCAGGATGTCGCTAATAGAAATTACTCACAGTGTTGGAAGGGGATGAAGACTAATGATGAAATAAATCTGAGACGAATGAAGAACTTAAGCTACTGAACCGCCCACCTCTCCATTACAAAACAAAGCAAAAGTGACAATGAAGTACTTGCACGGGTCGAGAGCCTGTTATAACAAATTCAGTCAGGCAAGCGACCCAAGACGTTTATATTGTTTGAATACTTTATCGTCGCCGATAAGGTAGTCTTGGCCTAGCAGGAGATACTATATCAGTCATAGTACATACTTTCAAGGCAAGTGCTGATACTCACTGCCGAGAGCTAGCTTGGCCCCGTAGCAAGTCGGAAACACGATACACGGATTGTTTGAGCTACCATATGTCTGATAAGCTGTAACAGCATCAGGGAGGATACCTCCTGTAACTTTAAACCTGCCGTGATGATAATATTTGATATCTGGTGGGGTCGTCATTTGTTGTAGTATATGGTCCCTGTAATAGCTGTTTACTTGGATTATTCACTTCTTATAGGGTTTAATCCACGGTATCTCTGCAGGTCTATAAGAGTGTATCATCATCTCGTGGGCACATAGTGTCTGGGAAGAAGATATAAAAAGCGCCATATCTTTTGACAGCAGCCCTTCTTGTGCGACTCGAACTGTAAAAACTCATGGTCAGGTGATGCCTCCGGATATTGAATTGATCTTGGTGTCCATATCATTAGGTCTGGGAACAAAGGAAATTTGGACACTGTGTCTTGAATAGCGAAAAGTGAGCATGTGTTTACAGTACATTTTTATGATGCCACGCAAACTTGAATAGATCGCCACTAATCTCAAGTACTAGTTCAAAAACTCTCGTATGTTCGCTGAGACGAATTCTACGTCAGTAATGTTTGCACCACCGCCAGCTATATCATGCACGAAATGAAAGGTGAATTTTCAACGCAAATATCATAAATAATAGTCCTCGCACCATTGTGACCCCAGTCAGTGTCTATAATGCGCAATTTGACATCTTGCAGGTAAGACGCTTCTATCTGACTGTCTTCGGGCTGTATGATAGATGTTTCAGCGTACTATGCACGAGATATGAAATATTGAGGAGACAAACAGGGAAACATAGGTCTGTCCTGGCTGGAAGCAAAAGAACCTTCGCTGAGATGCTCCTGAGGGCTTTCTTGTAATCTCCACCATCCCGAACTTGGGAGATGTCACCATTTTGCCATGTGTCAAGGAGCGCCATCATATCGTTCGCATCCCAATTTTGGAGCCAATTAGCTTCCCCTTCTCCCTTCATAAAGCTTTCAAGGTCTGAGTAGCTGTATCGTATATGTGAGGTTGGGAACGGGTGTAGATTTTGAAAGCATAGTCTTACTTTCCGTTCAGCGTGTACCTTTGTTGCCTGAACCACTGGTTTTAAACATGAGAGACTATTTTGGGGAATTATACGATTGTTTTGGTACCGTTTGCCCATACATCCAAGCGCACATTACTCGCCCAAACGCACGCAATCCGTGCTGAGGGGGCGAAGTGTAGTGCCCTCCATCATAATCTTTTGACGCTAGCATGGCTGCTTTAGGGCCTTCCAGTACACTGAATAGACCAAGTGATTAACTTTGAACAATACGAAAGGAGAAAGGTGCGATAAGAAATACCATCTGTTATGTGGGCTCGTCCGAGCGGATGAGCAAATAGCTATAATTCTCTCCACAAACTCTGGATACATCACTGCCCAATGATATGCCTAAGTGATTATCAGTATAATACTACCAGAAGATTACGGCAACATGACGCACTTGTTGGCCACCCATAGAAAAGCCTAGGGCACAAAAAGCTTTATCTACGCCTAGTCCTTTAGTCAAGACACTGTACTGTGCTCGGCTTACGAAGTATGTTAGAAATCAACCCTAATCTAAAAATCAGTTACTCTCTTACATATTGTCTTCGTAGGATGTATGTGGAAAATATGGACCATTATATGGGGATGGCTATTCACCAAACACCACATCAGCTCTCTACACTAGCATGGCATTATTGGTCGAAGCTCACTGTATTGGAAGGTGAAGAGGACTAGTTGAAACATTATGGGTTACTGTTCGTGTAAAGGAGGCGGCCATTCGATATAATAACACACCTCTCCGTTACAAAACAAAGCAAAGGTGACTATGAAGTAATTTCTAGGGTCGAGTGCCTTGTTGACTAAGTTACTCGTTACATTGGGGCCATACTGGATTTGAGAACGTACTTTTCCTTCTCCCACGAGATGATTCTGAACTGGAAGAGACATGTGAGAGTCGCCTACCTGAATATAATGGTTACTTACATCCAAGTGTCAGCTTTGCGCCATAACACGCAGGGAAAACAATACACGGATTTTTGGGATCACCGTAAGTTTGATATGCAGTGATGGCATCAGGAAGGACTCCTCCTGCTACTTTGAATCTACCGTGATGATAGTATTGGATTTCTGGAGCTTGGACCGACATTGAGCTAGTAGAGGCTGGTTGCTAATGATGACACCCACGACGGGGCATCGTCAGATATATGTAGCTCAATACACACATCGTAATTCGGACCTAATTGCTATAGAAAGGACGGCACATAAGCATATGTGGAACGTGAGAGTTAAAAGATCATAAATATTCAGGCATAGATAGATAAGACACGATGGATAAACTGTGCATGCCAAATTTCTCCCAAGCTATTCAATACAATGTGCTTGAAGAACCACATTCGAATAAGGAAAACACACTCAAAGTTCGTCAAGGAACTTCCTGATTTCATTCTGTAGAACATCATCATCTTGAGCATTAGATCCTCCACCAGCTAAAAGTAAAGTTTATAAAATAGCTTATGATTATGAAATCTTAGCGTACCCATGTGGCCCCAAATCGAATCAATAACAAAAAGCCTGGCGTTTTTCAAGCACGAGATCTCAAATCGGCTATCTTCAGGCTATGATGTATGAAGTTTCAGCACATCGGTCAGACTTCATTCATGCTTCAAACTAAACAGCATTCAACGTACCGGAAAGTAAAGATCGGTTTTGCAGGGCATGACCAAGCCTTTCGCTTTGATCTCGCTTAAGCATTTTTCCAGATCTCCTTCATGTCGGATTTGTGAAACATCCCCGTTTTGCCAAGTATGAAGTAGAGTGATTAAGTCATTAGCATCCCAGCCGTTCAGGAAGCCAGCCTCCCACTCTTCGCGAAGGAAGACTTGAAGGTCCGGATACCTGTTATTTCATCGAGGTCAGACATTTGGAACGTGATAGGTCTACAGAAAAACGGACATTCCATCGTATAAGTATCGTTCTTCCCGGAACCACTGTTCACATAATTAGAAACAATACAATCTGTCAGTGCCACTCGCTAACCGTCTGGCCGTAAGCCCATGCACTGTAGGCACGCCCAAAGGCCCGGATGCCATGTTGAGGAGTTGTAACATAATGTCCGTTATCGAAGTCCTTAGATGCGACTAGAGCAGCCTTGGGACCCTCGAGGAAACTAAAATTTATAGTAAATTATATCTACAGAAAGCTGCTGGTAACAGACAGACCATTTGTTGTGAGGGCTCGTGCGCGCTGAACCACATATAGGTATATATCTTTGTAATTGACGAAAATTGGCTGAGGTGCCTTCCACTCTGAGTGCTGACATACCTCTGGACGAAATCTGGATACATAACAGGCCAGTAATACGCCTTGAAAATGGTGGATCATCAGCGAGTGATTGAACTCGATAATTTAGCAAGTACCTGCTGACCGCCCATAGAAAACCCCACTACACAAAAGACTTGTTTGATGGAAAGCTTCTGTGTCATGACTATGTATTGAGCGCGGCTGCGGTCCTTTATAAAACAGAAGTCATCGTGATTGATAGAAGAACTCACACGTTATCTTCATAGGATACTGCAGGAAAATATGCCCCATTGTACGGAGAAGGCTAACCTCGGGGAACTCAGATCCTCTTCATGCAACAGATCGCCATGCCTTACCGTGTTAGACGGAGACGAAGACTGGTAATACATCAGATACATTCTGAGAGTCGCAAGAATGCTCACCCACCTCGCCGTTGGAAAACAGTGCGAACGTGACGATGTAATATTTTTTCGGATCAAGGACCTCAAGTAACGATGATTCAATGAAATCGAACAAGACATCTTTAGACACTGATAAGTACCTTATTATCGCCAACCAGATAACTTTGACCTAACAAACCAGAACCTCGCACCAGCATATATCATTCCCGCAGAGACGGGCTATGTTATTATCACTCACTGTCGAGTTTTCCCCCGTAACAGGTAGGAAAGACGATGCAGGGATTAGCAGGGTCTCCATACGTACAGTAAGCAGTAATTGCATCGGGCAAAATACCGCCTGCAACGCGGAAGCGACCGTGACGATAATACTGAATTTCCGCCATGTGTGATGTGGGAAACGAGATGAGGTGGAAGTGAAGGTCACATACATATACTTATGCTCTCAATTGAATGTCCTTATCAGTGCTCGGCCCGGCTCGATGTCAAGAGCGCGGGTTTGAAGCTGTCATAGCATGGGCGCAAGGGAAGGAGAATCTATCTTGGAGCAAAGATATGCTTTCTGTGGGAACGCGGGGACCTTGGGTGAAGCAAATGCAAGCACTAGGCGCATGACCGAATCCGTGGCAGCAGAACATTGAATGTGAGCGGCCTCAAGTACCAAGTGACTACCAGACGATGAAAAGATAAGTGTGACACAAAGCCGGAAAAGTAGCAGTATGGATGGGCTGCGTTGCGGAGACATTTGAAATATACACACGACGGTCACTGTGACAGTGAGAAAAACGCGTAATGCAAAACGATCACGTGGAACCGCAAAATAAAATGTGAGGCTTTGAAACTATAACAGTCATCATTTAAAGTTTCGGGAACTTGCCGGTCTCATACCGAATCCTCCTACAGTTTCTTCACCGACCTCCTCGACATCAAGAATGGGCTGTATGTGGGCTTTCTCACTTATTATGAACACTCCAGTGATATCGTATATTTCTAGCCAACAAACCTCGCGGACTTCAAGCAGCACGCAAGCTTCGCAATGACCGCCGCGTGAACCGCTGGGTGTGTGGATTTTGATTATACCATAATCTGTCAGAGGCTGGAATGCTATTCATTATCTAGGCGGACAAGTCATACAAGAAGCGTGCCCTCGGCAACATCTACAAAACCTCTCCTACTGGAGGATCGTCCCACGCAAAGGGCATTGTCCTTGAAAAAGTTGGTGTCGAAGCTAAACAACCAAACTCTGCCATCCGTAAATGTGTCCGTGTACAATTGATCAAGAACGGCAAAAAAGTGACTGCTTTCGTCCCGGTATGTTTATTCTTGTGTGATTGTATCCGTACCCCTGATTACTTATTGCTGTTGTGCAGAATGACGGTTGCTTGAACTTCGTAGATGAAAACGATGAAGTACTCATCTCTGGTTTCGGTCGTAGCGGAAAGGCCAAGGGTGATATTCCAGGAGTACGGTTTAAGATCGTCAAGGTGTCTGGTGTTGGTCTTTTGGCCCTCTGGAAGGAAAAGAAGGTATGTCATAAAGTTATTCTATTAACTGAACGAGGTATTGAAGGGTGTGATTCATTCTTGAAGGAAAAGCCAAGGTCATAAAGATTGGGTTACTCTCTTACGTTTCCACTGCCATGTTTTCGTTCCACATTATGATCATGCCTGTATTGCATATATATGTCCTTCCTCAATGAGATCATAAAATGGTACGCAACGCATGGTTCATAGCTGGAAATTGACATTGGACATTGGACATTGGACATTGGCGACCACTTTTAAGAATAATAAGCAATTTGACACTGCATATGATTATGGTGCAAAACCGGTAAATACAAATAGTTCGTGAGCTGAAAAATAATGAGTGTTCATAATTAACCCTTTCATGCTGTCATAATCCCTTGGCCCTGCAAATACCTCCTTAAGTCCTTCATCAACTCGAGTTGTTCCTCCATCGTCAAACCACTGACAATCATCTGAAGAATTGAGCCCACCGTAACATGATGTTCTCTAATGAGACTGCTGTAATAGACATATGTGAAAACACCCATGAGGAATCTGGCAACTATCATTAGCTCAATGAATTTGACACGATCGAGCATACGCACTGGCAGTCCATACGGTCTGTCATACCTCCATGTCCAGGTATGCTATGTCCAAAGTCTTTGATATTGAAAGCGCGTTTAAAGCCGGAAGCAAAGAAACCACCGAAGGGTGCGACGAGCGATGCAAAAACAGACATGCAAAGCAAATGAAACTGGTATGGGACATACGGTATAGTGGTCACGGCGTTCCCGAGCTGAATGAAAGAATAAGATTAACAGATGCCAGGAAATCGGATGAGAAGGTGATAAACAAACAATAGGCGAGATAAACACTCTCAGGGGAGCCCAGATTTGCCATTCTCTCCAGATGAATATAGGGTTAGGAGTGCAGTGTCCCGACGACCATGCATCGACACCAAGATCATGTACGGGGCAGATCATGTAATCAAAGCGCATGAAATAGGATCCCCAGATGATCCCAAAGATCACAGTACTAAAGAAGGCGCCTACAAAACCCTCGACAGTTTTCTTGGGTGAAAGTTTGATGAGGGGTGTCCTTCCGAGTGTGATACCCCAGATGTAAGCGAATACATCGTTGCAAATAACTAGAGATGCAGGGACCCAGAACCAGATGAGACCTTCCAGTATATTATTTACTATGAAATGGCTGAGTGGAGATTTTGGATTTTGGTGAGTCGTTTACTCATCCATAGTCACAGATCTCACCTTGAGACTACAATGAGGAGTAAGCTCATGTGGACCCAGCAAAAGAGGCCAAATTGCTGCTTGAGATAGCCACGTTTGAGGGACATAACAAAACCCATGAAACCAATGGTATATAAAGTAAAACTGATGATGCGATGATTAGTAGCAAATGGCAACAGCTGCGCATCTGCAAAGACAACATGCTATACCAAGATGGATGAACTTGCGTAACAAATAACGATGAAAGTAAATCTGACCTTGAAATAGTAGATAATGCTCTCGCCGTATAAAAAGTAGTTGGTGACGGCAAAAAAATACCAGTTCAGAGTTTTACTCCACGGATCTTTCTTTCCTTTTGTCTCGACGTCTGAAGACTCCGGTGCAGTATTCCTCAGAGAAAACAGAGCAGTGACTTCTCGGTACACCAAGGTTTGACATAGCATAACGAGTATGATCATATACACATGTCCCATGAGCAGGAGACCTTTAGTAGAGAAGTTCGTAAGCTACAGCTATACGCAGATTGTTGAATGTCATACCGATGAAACCTCCTATCATGATGAATGTCCATAGCGTTCTTGTCAGCATATTTTGGCGTTTCTTCGTCCGTTCAGTTTCAACGCCACCATCACCGAGTTTCAGAGCGCGCTCCGCGTCACCATTATGATGATCAATGGCAACCTTCTCGACAGTCTTTTCTGGGGGGTCACTATGACTTTCAGGGATTACAGAAACTGGAACATGCTTAGAATTTGAACGAGTATAAAGTAGAATGATGCACACCATTATATAACTTTTCTGAAGTACCACCATTAAGGAAGGCATGCTGCTGCGGTGAATCAGCCTCGACCATTTCATGGTCTACTTTTGTTGTAGTAGCCGGTTTAGGTGTATGCTGCACTATGCTGGTGATGTCTGGTTCAGCCATTGGAATTGGAAGTGGAGGTTCTTCGGGAGCAGGTGTATCTCTCGGAGAGCTATCGGTAGTCGTTGTAGTTCCTGTTTTATTAGCGGTTTTGAGCTGTTTCCGTCTCTCTGTACGAGCAGTTTTGGCGGCCTTCTTTATTTGAGATTTAGACAACTTTACAGGGCCCAGGCTGAAATATAGTGAGTGTTTGCGGCGCCTATATCAACAAAGGCCGCTGTGCGGTGTGGGCTGACCTTTCCGCCAGCACCGATGCTGATGAGCTCTCCTCGTCTGTGTCTTCTTGGACATCTTCACCAGGATCAACGACCAGAGCTTCGAAAGCCGTCCTGGACGCAAATATTGGTTTTGAGTTTGTAGCAGCTCCCGCACTCATTGTGGTTGTGGTCTGAAAAGAACGTGAAAAACAGAAGTCCAAAGTGAACACGTGAAGGAAACACGCAGGTGACGTGTTGGCAGCCGACGCCGACTCGAGTCTCTTAATTCGCCACCGCACCACCGATCTGTTTCCAGAAATGGAACTATATGTACCTCAGCTTAATCTCTCATCGGAATTTCACAACTACAGCACTCTCCAACTTTTGTAGGATAGGATGTATTGGTCTATATATCACCCTCCATACATGCTCTTCGCACAACGTCCGGAGTGCCATGCAAAATCGAAAGAGAATAAAAGTGCAGTGTGTTGCGCTGTCCAACGGAAGACTCTGGTAGATACTAGTAGTGAATGAATTTATATCGACAAGCAAGTCCATGCAGTCTAGACTAGACAGTTAGAATTTCCAGTTATTGTCGACCTCCATTGCCCATGGAACTGAGTCGACATTCATTAACAAGGAGAGGACAAAATATAGCTCAGCGGACGTACATTTGACAAGTAGTGTCTTCGAGAAAATCTTCTCTATAGGTACGTCGTGGGTTTTACACCAAGCCGCCGTGATCCTACAAAGTCACATCAGTATGATAGAGCCAAGTGTCTGATAAAACTCACCGTGGGTCCAAGTAGTTGATTTTACTAGACAGTTCTAGTCAGCAAACGATACACATCACAACAGCTAGAGTTCTATTCGACATCTTACCTTGTTCCCAAAGCAACCTCCTTGCCTGCTTCCCGATCATCCATCTGCAACTTGAAGGTCTTCATCTTCTCGTCTAGTTTCTGGATGTTTTCTTCCAGCTTCTCTATTGGCCGCTCTCTCTTCAATGTCGCTCTCTCTGTCCCACGCTCGCTGACAAGCTTCTCGTAGTCAGCTTCTATGCTATCTATTTTGTCTTGTAATGCCGATTCGTCTAAGGGCGCCTTACCCTCCTCTACCAACTTCTCGTTGTCCTTTGCGAATTTTTTCTGAGCTTTTTCGATATCCTTGTTCTTTAGTGATTCCTCATGTTGCTCAATCCAGTCATCATCCAAGTCAGATTCATCGTTGGCGTATGGCTTCTTTTTCTTGTATTTGGGATCAGCATTGAACAATACGTGACGTAGTTTCATACGTTCATATTTGAACGAGCGAAGCTAAGATAAACATAGTCAGAGTCATTGTATTTGTGCAGTAAACTATAAACATACCCTATCTCGCATTTTCTCCATAGATTGCTCGTGTGTTTTGGGAGCACTGCGTTGATGGTTACATAAAATTGCTACCATGCGGTTAGCGTGGTTATATGCATTCAGTTTCTCTTGCACAGTAGCATTCTCGGGGGTGCTTTCGTCCAACTGCTCCTGGAATGTGATCGATGCGTTGTAAGTACGGAAAACTTTTGCGGTCAAACCCTTCATGTATGATTGCAGGTGCTTGTTGAGAAGCGTCGTCTAATCAAAAATCGTTAGCTGCAATTGAAGAATAACAGAAATTCCCTCGTTACGTTAACACGATCAAACAAATTGTCATTATCTTCTTTGTTTTCCTTGAAGTAACGGATATTCTTGAAAACTTGAAATTCCACGGCAACGCGGTTGTAGTATCGAATTGAATCTTTACCCAGGAAATCGAATATAATGAAATTCGGGGCTTCCAAGGTGACATGTTCACAGCGAAGCGAACAACAACCAACAGTATCTGCTTCATCTTCTCCTTTCTCATTTCCGGCACGAAGGGCTAAGCGATCGATGAAATACATAGCTGTTGCCCTCTGACGATCTGCCATTATCTTACTCCTCAAGTCTGCGTTATAATCCTGACGTATCCTATCCACATGTTTCTGCAAAAATAACGATCAGGGGTTTTACTCTGTGAGATAAGCTAGATCTACCTTCAACTCCCGAGCTTTCTCGAATTTAGACATGTCGCTTTGTCCTTTCAGAGAACTACCCGCCGCCAGGAACACATACTTATGATTTCCGTTGATATTTTCAACCCAATTAGCAAGCCAAGTGACCGTCTTGTCATGGATAATTTGCTTCCATGTACCTGGCATATTTGGAATGGGGATGTGTGACTCTGCGCCGATATTAATGGTTATGTCCTCCGGGCGTACTCGGAACTAGTTCACAGATAACCTGTCAGAAAACATAGTGTGATTGTAACGATGGCCATCACCTTCAAAGCACCCTTCTTCGGATGGTCACCCCGACCTCTAAAGAGACCCGGAGGTTCAACTCTGAAGTTCCCCACTTTCTCTTTTCGGCCGTCAAGAACACACGTCACATATTTCTCCTCATATGCATCTTTCTGTTTCTTGAGCTCTTTCTTCTCTGCAGTGGTCATTGCTTTTTTCTTTGCTTTTTCTCCCTCAAAATATTCATACATTGGCCTGAAATCACAATGTTCAAAGTTCGTAATTTTGATCTTATTGCGCTACAGGAATTTTCCAAATGAGGAATGATTTGACAGTGCCAAATGGCTATGAGAAACATACAGGAGGTGCGTCCTTTAGGACTTTCTTCCAATCTTCAAAGAAATTTTTATTGAACGTGTTGTCCTGAGCATGTTCAGTTTCGAGCATAGCTGCATAAAACCCAGCAACCTCTTCTGCTATAGGGTCGAGATCCACAGGTTTTCCTACATATATGTTAATATACATCAACTACATTAAACCAGTGTGATGAGACGTACCGTTGTACTTCATTTTGACATGTGAAGGGAGAGGCTCGTAGGGGGGAGGGAAGATAACGCCACTGTGCTCAAGTGTTTGCCATTTCTCCTCTCCATCACCGTTGGCTTGCTGAGCTTCCCACCATCGATACACTTCCTCGCCTTCGTCCAGTTCTTCCTTCTTGCTACCCTTGACTTTCTTTGCTGAGCCCTGTGGTTCTCCTTTCACTTTTTTCTTAACCTTGGGCGCCTCTGAAACTGACCCTTCTTCCTCCTTGACTTTTTTAGTGGAAGCTCTCTTGCGCGCCTTCTTAACAGATAGCTTCTCTTCCTCAGAAGAGGGCTCTGCTTCGCTCTCGACTTTGACTTTGGCTTTCCGCTTCGCTGCCTTCTTAATAATCGGAGCGTCATCCTCACTTGAGGAGCCGTCGTCGCCACCTTCTTTGTGTCCTGTCTCCTCCTTCTTAACCTTCTTCTTGGGAGGTACTGCTGACTTCTGAGCCATGCGTTTCACCTTTATCTTTGATGTTTCACTGCCATCAAAACCCATTTTTGAAGGTGGTGGCGGAAGTACCGTTGCCTCAACTGCGCCTGGCATTGAAATTGCCGCCGACTTGGACTGCTTTGCTGGTGAAGATGCGAGTGGAGTATCGTCATCACTCGAAGACGATTCAACATTATGGGGTCTCTTCCGCTTCGATGACCCAGCCAGTTGACGGCCTCCTGCATTTGGACGAGCCGTTTGAGACTGTAGAAAACGAGGTCGGGTCAAAGTAAGCACGCGAAATATATGCACAGCCTGACACACGTACCAAGGGCAAGTCATCGTCCTCGCTCATTGCGGAATCGCTTGAATCATCGTCAACATTCCCATTACCATTGGTAACGACGTGCCCGTTGAGACCAGTCTGATATCTTTTGTCAAGAGGCCTATCATCGTCCGACGACGTCAAAGCATTGCTGGACATTGCTCAAAATGCAATTTCTCGCAGAAATAATTATTAGAACAAGCTGGAGGTTGGTCCAAGAGGGGGAAAGATGGAACGATGGAAGAGAGGGTTGTTCCTGCATATATTGGTTGTTTGGGCTTTTTTTCCCTAAGTCTTGATGGACCAGCCCTAAACATGTCACGGCGCTCGGGTTTACACGGGAGCGTGATGCAAGTGGCCACTTCATTCCCTTCTGTGCCACAGCTCCATTATTCTTAGGTGAGTCAAAAGTTGAAATGAGAGATAAAGCATTCACCGCTATAACTTCAGACATGTCCAACCTCCCATTGTTTCGTGATCCTTGGGCAAAGAGAGAAGCTTGGAGAAAGCATCCCGTCTTCTCGAATCGAGCTATGTTCGGTAGCATGTTCCCCGGACTGGGTATCGCCATTGTCGCTTTCTCTGCATATGTCGTAGCGGACAACTTCTACGGAAAAGTGAAGAAGGAGGAACAGAAGCATTGAGATATTTGAAAGATGTGTGAAGGTAAGTACGCGACTGGCGCTGTGCACTTTTCCCTTACTGTTTTCATTTGTTAGTTAGAGTCGACAATATATTCGTGTCTGTCACTAGAGCCGGTGTTACTTTGGTGTAGATATGTGCTTTCAATGCAATCATTTCGTGGAGCATCCGTTTTATTTTCCGTTGATACACAATCATGATGCAACCACGTCGCAGTTTATGCAAGAAGACCTGGATACGCGCAGTTTGTATGTGTCAATTTCACTCACGTTTCACGCTCTTAGCTGACAAAGTCCTAGTACAAATTTATTGGAAGTTATATTGAAGGCATCTGTTTATCTTGGCTTATAGAGTCGCCCTTTTTCGTAATGAAATGCTTCTTCATCAGTAACGCCGTTGGAATTACAAACTACTTCAAATTGGCGTATCAAAGTATGACCCTCGAATCCTCCCCTAATACCGCTCTTGTGATCGCCCGTATGAACGATAAAGAGCTCCTTTGTTCTACTGCTGCTGACCACCGCCACCACCAGTGAGTTCTGGAATCGTATTGTAGAACCGCATGTTGCCCCATTCAAATCCGGCGACCAACTCATGTGCGTAACGTAATCGAGGAAGCCGAGACACGCATGTGTCGGCCATGTTTTGGAAGCCGCATAAGTATAGTATAGGTGAGCGGTCGTCGCCATCGTATGATTTCTGATCATCAATCGTTTCTGAGAAAACGGACCCACTGCATGCTCAAGCTCGACTCTACATAGAATAGTCGTGTGGGTTTTTAACCTGGAACATTCCTTGATGCGGACTCGCGACTTCAGAAGATACCCACTCTTCTTCTTCTAAGAGAAGAGCTCAAAATGAATCTTCGTTGCGAGAATTTCCATGGCAGCACTTCTCGGCATCTCCGTCATGTATTATCCGGATGACCTGATGCGGAGCCTGGGTAGTAAGCCGCCGCCGCATCAGCTTCTGGATATCATTGTTGGCCGAGGACTCTTGGACCCATATGTTTTCAGCGACATCGCTACGAGGGGTTATTTCGAGACGACACAACAAATATTTTTCAACATTTCACAATCAATGGAGATGCTGACAAGGCGCATCGATCCTGCCGGTCAGTCATGATGAGCATTTGATTATTGCTTCCGTTCAACGGTTTTAGTCACTAGTCCACCTGCGGCGCAGTTCCTTAGCTTTTCAACTCTGGTTCCTTATGTGTTTTGCCGTGCGTCATACAGTACCACTGGTACACTATACGACTATCAGGGCCCATATGACGCTAACCTGTTGTGCTTGGAAATTATTTCCCGCCTGTGTCGGCCAATTACTCCGCCCATCAAGACCACTACGTAAGTATTACAGTGTGCTCTTCTATGAATTAAGACGCTGAACATACTACGGCTATCTGCGATGACCTGGTGTATGACACCGTGTATTACTGCTGACATGGTGCTAGGCTACCAAAGGCTACCGCTGTAGATGCAAACCGCCACCGCCACTTGTATGTTGAGTGAGTGCTATGCCATTCAAGGCTCTCCACTCCGGCTGAAATGTATGGACCTCGGTAGTGGCCATGAACTATGCGTTTTAGGACCTAAGAAAGCAGCACGACAAACCTTGTGGCTAAGCCCTTGACGGATTACAATCATTGGGTCCCTATAGCGCTTCACCGTTCGTGATACGATAGGATTAGCGCCCAAAGGCATTTTAACTCAGGCCGCCATCTGGATCCAGTACATGGTTTTGGTGGTTTCGGCATCATTATTTCTGTCATACCTGCCGCGACGCTATCACTGCAGTACAGGATCCAGCAAGTCGCAGTTATTCATGAAGAGATTTCCGGTGGAGTGCATCCGCCACCAGGTAGTCTCTTTCCAAATTGAGCCCGTCGGTACCGGAGATATAATCGGCATATTATACTTTTTTAGGCCTTGGTGGTTCACCAACACTTACCCTTCTTACTTTTGACTTGAACGTCGACTTAAGGACGGGGGATGAGGCATGAATCACTGATTTGCAATGCTATGCCAAACATGCGCGGCGAAGTAGTGTATGACACCTCACAGGATACTACCACAAATATCTTACGCGTTTCATTTGCGAACCAAGATATAGAAAGAAGAATGTATGTATCCCTGGAGGGATCGGGCAAGATCTAGAGTTGAGGCACTTGTCCACAGATTGAAGTGGGCCTCTTCTATGAATTTTTTTTTTCGAACGAAAGACCGGGACTGGGTTGCCTTTTCTAGGTGTAAATCCTGGTAGCCTTATATTCCCATCGCTTCGAGCCTTCAATCGGCTTCACGACTGTTTTCGCATGAGCGACTAGGCGACTTTTGGCCATAATTTATCGTCAAGGGCTTTACGAATAGCGATGGGGCCGATGGCGCTTGATCGATTTAACTGTCGTATCATATGGCCAGTAAATTTTCACGACGATCGGCCCGTACGTTAGTGCGCCTCGAGGTGCAAACTTGACCACAACGAGAGGCCTGCAAGGGAGTACTGTCCTATCCTGACGCTGGGGTAGTTTGCTAATTCAAGGCACAGAAAACAAGTTATCTGTCTTCTTTAAGTCCGGAAATCCATTGAAATAGTCAGTCTGGTGCGGTCTTCCATAAGTCATAGTATTCCCCCCGACCACTTTTCTGCTGTATAACTGTTCTTTTCCTTCTTGTAAAGATGTCTTCCCCTACCAAGTACACTTCACTCATCTTTGACATCGGCGACGTCCTCTTCTCCTGGTCATCGAAGACCAAGACTACCATCTCCCCGAAGCTACTTCGTCAAATACTCTCTTCGCCCACCTGGTTTGATTACGAACGTGGCAGGATATCTCAGGATGTTTGCTACAGTCGAGTCGGCCACGAGTTCACGTTAGATCCCTCAGAAGTCGGTCGCGCTTTCGAACAAGCTCGGGAGTCCCTCCAAGCCAACGACGAACTTATCTCTGTTATTCGCGAGTTGAAGCAGCAGTCAAATGGACAGCTCCGCATCTTCGCCATGTCCAACATCTCCCAGCCTGATTACGAAGTCTTACGTACGAAAGACGCCGACTGGTCAATATTTGACGAAGTATTCACTTCTGCCAGTGCTGGGGAGCGCAAACCAAATCTTGGTTTTTACAGGCTCGTCTTGTCCAAGACAGGTGTAGATCCTCGATGTACTATCTTCGTTGACGACAAACTGGAGAATGTTCTATCCGCTCGTTCTCTTGGCATGAAAGGCATTGTTTTCGACGATGTTTGTAAAGTCATTCGCGCTCTACGGAATCTATTGGGAGATCCTGTCACACGAGGCCAGAACTATCTTAAGCAGAATGCCAAACATCATGATTCTGTCACCAATGGTGGCGTAGTTCTTAGAGAAAACTTTGCGCAGTTACTCATCCTGGAAGCCACAGAGGATAAGTGAGTGGTTCTATCGTGTCGTGTATGGAACAAATACTTATGTTTGAATGATTCCAGGAATCTTGTTCATCTTGAAGAACAACCACGTACCTGGAATTTCTTTCAAGGTACATAACTTTGTTTCATATCTGTGAAAATATAAACCAACTAGCTTACAGGGAAGCCGCTCTTAACGACTGAAGACTTTCCCTTCGATCTCGACACGACTTCTTTGGGGTTGACTGTGTTGAAGTGCCCTGAAGACGTGGCAACTTCCGTGATGGACGAGATGCTCGAGTATGTTGATGATGATGGAATAATTCAGGCATGTTTCACTTTTTGTTTTTCAATTGGGCTTGCGTTAAAAAAATTGAAAACAGACATATTTCGATCATCGTAGACCACGATTCGACCCAGTTGTTTGTGTCAACTCCCTTACACTATTCTACTCTTATGGGCGAGGATCTCAGCTCAGGCGTACTTTGCATTGGGTTCGAGAGGTGTTACTTCATCGCGCTTACCTCGATGGCACACGTTACTATGCTACGCCCGAATGTTTCTTATATTTCCTCAGCCGCCTTCTCCAAACCACGAACAATTCAACGTTATCAGAGTACTTGAAACCCCTTCTGAGGGAGCGTATACAAGAAAGGATAGGCGCTGAAGGCGATGCTTTGGCTCTTGCCATGCGTCTGCTCACTTGCGCATACTTAAACATTAGAAATGAAGTGGATCTGCGCACATTACTTCCCCTGCAATGCGAAGACGGAGGGTGGGAAAATGGGTGGATATATAAATATGGCTCATCTGGAATCACGATTGGAAACCGTGGTCTTACGACAGCCCTTGCAATAAAGGCTATTCGGCTTTCTGCTCGCATTATCTCTCCAGCACCCTCGCCAACAACATTTCCTTTATCCATTACCACTAATTCGCGGTTCTTGCACCGGAAAAGCGAGTCCTCGGTATCAGATTTCTCGCCGAGTTCGCTTTTGGACCCAAGCCATAGCACGGTCCGTCGCCGACCCTTTCGCTGGCTTTGGGAGAGTGGCAAACTCGGGAAAGTAGCAGTAGAGGCAGGATTTTGACCACCCGTTCCACGGAACTTTCACGTCAGCACGTCTATCATTATTGTTTTTCTTTCTTGTTTTTTTTTCTTTCCTCTCATCTTAACCCGATGTCGGTGGGACTTTGTAATACAGAACGGAATGCACTTAGGGTACCAACTCGCATTACTGTCCATGTACCTCTACACTCTAACGGATACAACTGTATATAGCCTGTGCCATCAGTGTACCAACTACTTATGACTTACCTTTACTTCGTACAATCAATCATGATCATTCCATCCCAATTGTATCTGTCTTGTTGGACTTCTAGTTGCGGTACCACCCAGGCCACCAAGGTCACATGTACATAGTAAAGGTACATTGCCTAGTAAGCCATTGATCACGTTCATCTTGAGCCTTCATGCTAAACCAATATTGGGAGTTGATTAAAAGCAGTGTTCCAATCGCCCAGCTGGTAATGTATCTTCAGGGCAGCAAAAACCTATGTCAGGGCTGATTAGGGAAGAACGATCAGCGAACGATCTCAAAAGATGTAGCGGATATCGATCACCTCTTGGTAAGATCATAATGATATCCATGTAGTTATCCGCTGTTATCGTTAATCCATGGAGTAGATTACCATCATCATTACTGTAAATATGGCTGACAAACTAACTTACAGCTGATTTCATAACGATAGACCTATCCTATGAGTTAGTGTGCAGGCGGACTTCAGCGGAGTGTATATTTTCGGGAAGAACCCGAAGTGCCTCAACCAACATGCGGCGCCATATTCCCAAGGAGCAGAAGATACTAGCGTACGAATTGTCTTGCATCCATGGCCTCTCGGACAGACATGTTAGCCATTACCTAGGAATCAGTCAACGGACCATCAGGTGCATCCGGAAGACCTTCCGGGACACTGGTGAAGTGGGACACCAACTAGCTTGTCAAGGACGGTCTTGTGCCCTTGATGGCTTGGAAGCGAGTGTCAGTTTTTTCTTTTATTCTTCTGATTTGCTGATAAAACAAGTTTTTGATTAGTTCCTTGAAGGCTGCATTGAAAGACAGCCTGATATGATCCTCTCAGAGTTTCTAGATTCCATTTTTTTTTCTTTGGCAAGCACTCCACCGAATAGTCTCCACCAATTTTTTCAAAGACTTGGGCTATCACACTTATCACACCAGCCACACTCGGTACTGAGCCAAATATTCTAGTCTCCCTAAATTTTAGATTTACTACATTTTAAGCTTATTTGTAGTTCCGCTCTCTACACTAACTCATTGGATAGGTCGGTCTATCGTTATGAAATCAGCTGTAGCATTGATCGCAGTAGTACACTGGATCATGTTTGGACTAAAGCTCGCGTATTGAAGGACTACGCCTTTAGCAGTCATAATTGAGCGCTAGCAAATGCAGCCGAGAGATCGTGGGCCGTCTTGTCAGCAAGTGAACAACAGCGAAAGCCTTGAAAGACGAATGCTGACTATAGCAGCCTCACATTAGCAGGCAAAACACAAGATAAAGCATGAGACACAAAATGTTATTCCTTCATCCTCTAAGGTATCTTATGTATACTTGGTTCTGCGTTTCCTCTACAAAAGTAAATCCAAGCTTATCCAGAAAATCATCAAATTGTGCATGGTCTTGTGAAGGCACTTGTACACCAGCCAAGACTTTCCCTATATCTGGCATCCACTATCGGTAAGCACCAGATCAGAATGTACCTTGAAATATCCACATACCAGCGCCATGATTGCGATAGTGAAACAAAGATATATTCCAACCTTGGTGTAAACCCAAAAGAAACTTACGCAATGCTCCAGGTCTTTCAGGGAACTCTGCCATGATGGCACAGGTCAATAGCCGATTTTCCCGTGAGAGGGATGTACATACCGAACCGAAAGATACGTTCATCTGGTACCTCCTTGCAGCCTCCGATCATGTATCTAGCATGACTTTTGGCTAGTTCGTCGTCGCTGATATCATGACCCGTCATACCTTCCCGTTCAAGGTCAGCAAGAACGCTCGCTACTTCTTTGGAACGTAGAGAAGTTTCTAGTTTGAACGATAAAAATATATGGGCTATCGTGGGCGAGTTATAGCGATATATGAACTCGGTTATGGCACGTGGATGAATCAATGAATGCAGAGCAATAAAGCTGAACAGAGTCAGATGTCGTTTGTTATTATCTAAAAGCCCATTGCATACCTTCCTGGTTTTTCAGGTACCTCGACACTCAAGAGTGCTTCCCTACCCTCTCCGAGCTCAGCACGCTCTGCCACAAAACGCAGCCGATCGAAGTTCATGTTAGCACCACTGATAACAGCGACAAATTTTTGTTGTGCTCCGATAAGCTTGTTGTTGATAATGTACCGTTTCAAACCGGCGAGTGCTAGAGCGCCGGCAGGTTCAGTGATAGATCTAGTTTCTGCCGTCGTCATTCAGCTCTAGGTATGTCTTTAGGACAACATATCTGAATACTTGCCTTCAAACACATCTTTTATGGCCGCACACAATTCGTCGTTGTCGACTTTGACAATGTCATCTAAAAGTCGCTTGCAAATCCTGAATGGTTCCTCGCCGACAATCTTCACTGCTGTTCCATCACTGAATGGTCCGACCTCTGGTAGTGTCACCCTTTCGCCTTTTTCTAAGCTCCGAGCCATGGCATCTCCGTCGAATGTTTCAGCACCGATTACTTTTGTTTTAGGGCTTCCTATACGTTTGACATATTCACAAATACCAGCTACCAAACCGCCACCACCAACAGCGGCAAAGATGGCATCAAGATTATCGGCTTCTAACGACTGTTTGAGGATCTCCATTCCAACGGTTCCTTGTCCAGCTATAACGAGTGGATCGTCATAAGGCGGCACAAAAGTGAGGCAATGAGCCTGTGCTAGCCGTGCGCATTCTACTTTGGCCTCGTCGAAGTCAGCCCCGTGCAAAACGACTTTGGCGCCTAGCCGCTGAACATTCCGGATTTTTATGGATGGAGTGCCATTTGGCATAACGATAGTACAGGGAATTCCAAGTTTTGTACCAGACAAAGCGACCCCTTGAGCGTGGTTTCCTGATCAAACATAGCATTAGTGAGCTGGGGCAGATGATACAAATGATGAGATGTGACTGATGGCAATTCCTTTGAAAGATGGAAATCGCAAATGTAGTATAATTACGCACACTAACCAGCACTGCAAGTAATGACACCCTTCCACCGCTCCTCGTCGGTGAGACTAGCCATGAAGTTATAAGCACCACGGATCTTGAAACTGAAGACCTCCTGGAGATCCTCGCGCTTAAGCCAAATCTGATTTCCCAGCTTTGCACTGAGGTTTGGAGCATAAACTAGGGGTGTTTCTTTGAGGATCTCATAGACCTTTGACGTGAGTATGAGTCGCAGATAATCTGGGGTTTTTGTTGATAGAAGATGATGATCCGATAACCGTGGATAAACAAGAGGTTCAGGTGCGTGCGAGGCGTATTCAAGAGTTGCTGCAGTGGGCGACATCGATGTGAATGAGATTTTTTGCAAGCGACTGCTATATATCTAAAGTGACTCAAAATCATCTCGGTCCTAACCGACGATCTAGAGCGTGACATTGAGTCACGTGACTTAATTCTGGGCGGGAAAACCAGTAAAGGGAAAACAACGCGAAAAGGATGTAACCTATGGGTGGTTGGTTGGAACAGGTGGCTTACTTGTGCTCGGGCCTTCCAAGATGCGCCACGACAGGAAAGAGTAACAGACTAAACCCGTAGAAATGCCCAGTATAATGCCAGGTTGGCTCTGAGGATGCCTATTCTGTGTTATTGAGGTCTGGGAGAAGATCGAGCGAGCCAGCTGTATGCGGTGACATGGAGGGGTGGGTACGAGGATGTTCTGGTGTAAGACAAACAAGCTCCTGTGTTGGGATGGTATGAGAGCTCATGCGAGTGGCAAAACAAAGGCTCGGTGATAAGACGAGTGCTGCCAGCCCTAAATCCGACAGGCAAACGCATCGAGAGTGTCCAGCCAATCCTAACCTTGAGCCCTCACCCAAACCATGGCCCATACTGCAGCAATGGGTCCCCCTTTGTCCCCGAGAGAAACTCGTCGCTCAGGAAGGCGCTCAGCACCGTCCGCCTCAGCGAGCACGTCCAAATCACCAGACTCTCCTCCCTCTGAACCTCCTCCCCGTTCCAAAGAGAATGGCTCTCGCCCTTCCCTCTCTTCTTCCAATAGCTCTGGTCGCACAAAGCGACTCAAGCAGGAAGAACTCGACGACACTGTCGAAGATTCCTACAAAGCCACCCAGACTAGTACAGTTGCTCCTCCTCATGGGAACACCAACGGGCGGGCGAAGCGTAAGGGCAAAGAAAAAGAGAAACCGACCTCTCTACCTGACCTAGTCATCGAACCTATTCCGCACAAGTCAAGTGCATCTGTCGTAGATGGCAGTGTAGGCCAGCCAGACGAAGAGGATCAAGGCATTACCCGCTGTGTATGTGGTCTCAATGGTGTGTTTTTCCCCATCTACGATTCCTCACGCTTCAAAACTTAACACATCCCATTTTGCAAAGAAGAAGATGCAGATGGCGGTGAATTCATGGTTCAGTGTGAAACCTGCAATTGTTGGCAGCATGGCCTTTGCATGGGATACCAGAATGAAGATCAACTTCAAAATGATGACTATTATTGCGAGACATGTAGACCCGATTTGCACCAAGATCTGCTCAAGTGCGTTACAACGTCTCTTTCCATTTATATTTCCGATTTAAGTTTCTGCTGCAGAAAACTTTCGAAAAAGGTTCGCCATTCGTCAACCACTTCACACAATGCATCTGCTGTTGTTGTCCCTCGCCTATCTCGCTCGCATTCCCCATCACACTTATTGAAACCGGCCAAGCGGCGCAATACGATGAACAGCAGAGATGCAGCGTTCGACGAGAGTCTCAAAGAGTTGATAGAAGCAACAGCTGCCGAGGCTGCAGCTGTCCCTGATGTGGAGAGCCCGGTAGCTGAAGGAATGGCGAACGGGCATCCTGGACTTCAAGAAGAACAAGATGCTGGCCTTATTGGTCGCAAGAAACGGAAGCGAACAGACGACGATGCGTAAGTATATTGTGATTGTGGAGTTCTATTTGAATATTCTGACATCTCCAACGTTCCAGTTTACCCAAAAAGCGCACGAGATCAGCATCAAGTGCATCCGATCACCCTCCTCCACCCAATCCTATTACTGAAGACATGTCCGCCAAACCGAATCCAGGACCTAGCGTTTCTAGTAAATCTAACAACGCACGCAATAGGAGAGGAGGTCGAAAGACTGCCACTACCAACCAGGAAGTTGTGCTGTCTGTTGAGGGAGAAGAAGGTACTCGTTTCTTATCAGTGATGCTATTTGACCTTTATTCACGTGACCATTTCATTGAACCAGTTCCTGGACCGAGCAAGCGGCCCCAGAATAGTCGCAGTAAGATCGCCCCCACTCCGAAGCGAGCACCGCCATCTCATGCATCTCTTGTCTCGGGAGGTACTGGACATGACCTTGGTACCACTGGTAGGCGCAATCATTCTAGCGGAGCCAATGGATCCAACACCTCGACATCGGCGGAGAATTCCCGCGCCTATCGTAATTCCCATGCATATGCCGTCTCGCAACAACCGCTCTTTACATCATGGAATTTACCGGATTATTTGGCCCATCTCGAACCCATGCTGCCGACGGGTGTACCTCGCCCACTTGAAGTACGCGGCTCGGGGATCGGAGCAGGAGGAAGGGAATCTATGGAGAGGACGATGGAAAGAGGTGTGAAGGTGAAGTGGCCAAGTAAACGAATGAGTGTGGGTGACATGAACAAGCGTGTTCGAGCGCTTGTGGAATGGGTTGGAAGGGAGCAAGCCAGTGCTCTAGACCGTGATCGTCGTCGAGAGGCTTTGGAGAAGGCGTTCATGCAAGGAACTAGAGCTGATCAGAGCAGAGGTTCCACAGGCTCTATCAGCAGAGGAGCAAACGACGTATATGAGGTGGAAGGTGGTGAGTCTGATCAACGACCCGACGTGATGATTATCTCAAGCGACAAAGTGGACTCGCCTGCAGTGGAAAGAATCAGTGTAGATCTCCATGAGATAGCAATAGGTGATGGGGGTTATGGTCACAAACCACGGTCGTCCACGATGAAGATGATGGAAGAGCTCATGGAGGAGTTAATTTTGTTCCAGGAACGATTTGGTCCAGGAGCGAAGAGTAAGGAACGAGAGCGACGTCTTATTTCATAACGTATTGGGGTTTTTCTCAGTCTTAGTGAAGTGCTATCCTTTTCTTTGCTATCGTCCTCCCTCAAAGCTGTATGTCTTATTTACCGTTCCGTTACTTTATCATATTTTCGACATTATATTGCAGTTTCGTCATGCATGTACTGTTACGATATCTTATCGCTGTCTATCTTTCATTATTCAAACATTTCAAACCCTACATGGATTAATGATTACAGTGTAAATGACTGTAGTCTGAATTTTAGTTCATAGTCTCGCACAGTGGCGCGCGTCGTGGCGGCACTGCACCAAGTATTTGGAGGCATTTGCAGTTGAGCGCCTTTCAAGTTGAAAACCTGTGAGGCCACAGCTGCGGTTAGGTCGTCACTTTCCCTTGCTTGAAGAGCTGGTGACGATTCACCACAACTTCCAAGTTCATTGCATTCTTTAGCCGAACTAATGACCCCCAACCCAGGAATCTCGACCGCGGAAGATGCCAACGCTACCATGCCACGGCAAGATGGTCCTTTCACTGGTAGTACCATGCGTCCGCCGTCCCTCAGTATATCGGACCCGGATAATGACAGTGAAGTAAACGATGATAATGGAGGAGACTATTCTATGCGTATGGAGGAACTTTTCGACGAAGACCAGGAAGAAAACGGTGACGGCGTCGATGAAGAAGAGTTCCTTTACGAAGGTGTAGATGCAGAACTGCTCACGGGAGGTTACCGTGAGCAACTTCGAGACGTCCTGGAGGCAGACACTGAAGAGGATTTCGAGGAGGAAGAAGAGGTAGCCAAGTCTCTGATGCATGAAGAGCGTCAGGAAAATGGCCGTGAACACGATCAGGATGTGGCCGCAGTAAGTCGCGCATGCTACCTCGTGCTCCCTATATCAGCATATACACCTAACTATACCTACAGCATGCAGCCAATACCCTTTCTCTTTCTTCCGTATCTATGCCTCCATCCAGAATGGCTTCCCCGGCTCCCAACGAAATGTCACAGCTGCTCCCAAAACCATTTCTGCATCCGACTATTTCTCGACTTCGGTCATCCACTCCCCAGCCATCTCGCCTAAGTTCAGCTGGAAGCATCAGTTCTCCGTTGTTTAATGGAGCTTCTCCGGCCCCATCTCACTTCTCAGAATTGTCTCGAACATCTACGCCGTCCAATCATGATCATCACCATCGACATAATTTTACAAACGGACATATCTTTTCAGAGCGCGATGTGTTCAAATGGACGGAGCTTCGCACTGCGAATTCGCACGTTTATGCTCCAGCACCTTCAAAGGCTTCTGTTTTATTAGGATCGCCTGTACTAGGGTCTCCGATGGTCTTGAGTGCCAATGGGCTTATATGCGTTGGGACAGACATGGGCAGAATATATGTTTTTGACTTCAAGCAGACGCTTAAATGCATATGCGGTCAGGATGCACCAGGTAAACACGCGGTTCCTCCTTACTTGCAGATTTACTGAAACATTGGTATAGCAAGTACAGCCGGAGCAATAACTGCGTTAGCTTTATCCCACGACCACACGTTTGTTGCCTCGGGTCATGCATCTGGATACATTCAACTCTTTGACCTGAAAAACCCTCAGCAGCCAGTGCGCATCGTGGCACCCATAACCCTTGCAGCAGTGTCATCCGGTCGACAGGAGGGACATCTTGTTGGCTCACGTATCGTCAGCATTGGCTTTGTATCTAGCCGGCATACAGGTCTCGTTTCTGCTGATGATACTGGTTTAGCCTTTTGCCATAGCCTCAACAAGATCCTTTTCATAGACGCTTCTGACGTAATTCGAATACTGGGCAATTACCCTAATGAAGACGTCTCGAAGTCCGATAGTACTATGCTTCCTCTTGGTTCTTCATCTCTCCCTGCGCATGGAGGTATAAGCTCCAACAATGCATCTTTCGGTCGCCGTCGCAAGGCTCGGACTACGGTTTTGGCTATGGCACCTCTTCCGTTGGGTACTATTCCACATGCAACTGACACGTATAATATTGTGGCTTTGCTGACTCCAACAAAGCTTGTTGTTGTTGGGTTGAAACCTTCGCCTAAAACCTGGCTCAAACGTATGCGTGAAGACGAACCAAGTGCTCGAAAAGCCAGGTTTTCCAGGAGAGGAGCTTTGGCTTGGTTTCCAAGTATATCATCTCACTTGTCGGCAGATAAAGTGGAGCCGGTCAAGAAGAAAAGTAGGAATGCCAACAAGGCTGACCAACCTGTGCCTACAACTCCTGTCCTAGCATATTCCTGGGGCCGAACTCTTTACCTTCTACGAGTATCAGAGACAAAAGCCAAGCAGGCGATTGTTAATTCCCGTACGGGAAAGAGTGACGAGGTTGAGGTGGGGACATTAGTATTCGAGGAAGCAGGGAAATGGACTGCTGGAGATGATATTTCTGCCATTCAATGGTTAAACACCAATGTGGGTCCGTCTTTATAACCCTCGTTATTTGACTCGGGCTAACGATCAACGCGTTTGTGTTCGCAGCAACTTGCTGTCTTTACCTTAACAAACCTGATCGTTTACGATGTTCATACTAGCAAGTTGACGGAGCAAGTTCAGTTTAGTGCAGCTTCTTTGGTTTCGCCATCCCTTCCTTATACAAGTAACGGTTCCATACCTTACTACGAATCAATATGCGATATAGCTCATAGTGTCAGGGTGTATAAGGGGAAGATATTTACATTAGTAAGTTTCAATACACCTAATATCGAGTCTTGCCTTGATAAATTGCAATAGGGCCGGGGAAGCTTACAGGTCGGAACTTTGCTCACCTGGGCTGATAAAATATTATCATTGGTTGAGGAAGGCGATTTTCTGAGTGCCATTGAGCTGACTCGCTCCTACTATATCGGTGAGGCTCCTGGTAACCAAAATGGTCTTCCAGAGGATATTCGACAGCGGAAGGACATTCTCGGTGAGAAGATGCACGGCTTAATGGTAGCATCCACACGCTACGCGTTTTCGGAGGACCGAATGACAGATGGAACACATTTCACACCAGACGGTCGTGGAGTTGACCGTACTTCACTATTCGAAGATTTAGTGACGACATGTTCCAAGGCTTGCGTTGCAATGAACGATTTCGACTACTTGTTCGAAGACCTCTTTCAACAATACGATGATACTGGAATTTCCCGCATATACCTCCAACAACTAGAGATATTAGTACTGGATAGTACTATCCGGTCCGTGCCTCCACGAATCACGCAGCGACTGGTTGCCTTACACGAGGATGATGGCCGCCCCGACCTCGCGGAGAGAATTATCTGGCATATTGATCCCACGTGTCTAGACATCGATCAAGCTATACTTCTTTGTCAAAGACATCAATTATGGGATGCTTTGATCTACGTTTATACGCGTGCCTTACGGGACTACGTGTCTCCTATCGTACAGCTTCTTGGTCTCATACGTCAGGCCCGAAAGCATCGCAAGACTATGGATTTTTCGGATCGGGATTCGGGTACTGGCCTTGCCATTGAGCCTGTCATCATGAATGCTTACAAGGTCTATCCTTATCTGGCGAATGTCCTGTCTGGTCTAACCTACCCCAGTGAGGAACCGTTAGACTTTGAAGATGCATTCCAGGCTAAGAAAGACGCATACACGTTCCTGTTCTGTGGACGGTCCAGCGTATGGCCGCTCGGAGAAGGTGGCAAACTCGTGCTAACCGCAGAAGAAGACAGCGGCGTAGAACCGACGTATCCTTATGCTCGTCTTCTGCTGCAGTTTGACGCAGAGTCGTTTTTACACACTCTGGACATTGCATTTGAAGATTCTTATCACAACGAACCCGTCCAGAGTATCAACCGGCTTGTCGTTGTGAAGATCTTGATGGAAATATTATCTTCAGGAAGTCTGTCAAGGGCCGATGTGACATTCGTGAACATTTTCATCGCTCGTAACGTTCCCAAATATCCTCAGTACATCAAGGTAGCGCCAAGTGCTTCACATGAAATCCTTGTCACCCTGGCTACACAAATAGAACCTGATACTCGTGAAGACCGACAGCTCGCGGCCGAATACTTGTTATCAGTATACACCCCTCACGATAGCGATCACATCCTCCAACTCTTCGAAAGTGCCGGGTTCTATCGCATTCTACGAACCTGGCATCGGCAAGAACATCAATGGGCGCCACTTCTTTTAACATACTTTCACGATCCAGACCTGTCATTGACAGAGTTCTTCAACAGCATCGATGATGTCCTTAATACATCCGTTCATACCCTCAAAGGTGTTCTTTCCGGGGAGGTGGTCGCGGTTATTTCTGATGGGCTCCAGCAGCTAATGGAAGCGGATGTCGTAACCACGGCATCACTTATTGACAAGCATGCACCAGAATTGCATGAACAGGCACTGAAAACTCTCCCTGAAGGTGACGACTTAAAGCGGTATAGCTACCTTCGCCATCTCTTGGGTCCGCCTGATAATGACCGCAGCGAAAATGATGTAATATCACGGGGTCCTGGCCCATCCCTTCGCATGAATAGTGATTTATGTCACCTATACATTTCTCTGCGGTGTCAATTCTTCCCGTCAGACGTGATTACTGCACTGGAATATATTCCATTGCAACTCTTGGATTGGTATCAAGTTATGCAAATCTGCGAGGAAAAGCGGGTTTATGATGCTGTTATATGGGCGATGAATCAGAGAGGTGATCCTCGAGAAGCTATGTTGAAGGCATCGGATTTTGAGAAGGTCTTGACACTCAATATCACTCGCAGCCTGGTGGCAACAGCAGAAGGTTCTTTGGGGGAAGTCGAGAAACACGTCAAAGCTTTGAAGGCTCTTGGGCGAAGAGGGATCGCTATTTGCCTCGAACATTCCAGAACGACCTCACCCGGCGAGGTACCGTTAGAGGACATATGGTTCCAGCTCTTGAAAAGTCAGATGAACGCCGTGCAAAGCGTCTCCAGCTGTTGCTCCGGAGATGCATTGTCAGAGCCGCAAGACGATACGGCGAGGGGTGAAATGGTAAAATCGGAGCGGCGTACCCTGTCTACACTACGCTCGCTAGTGAAAGAAACTTTTGAAGCGCTAGTCTCTATCAGTTCCACTCGAGCTGTCTCTTTCCCTCGACTCTTCAAACGCCTCGTTGATCCTAGTAATCTCGACTATGGAATCAGTGGCACATATACAGAGTTCAGAACGATTTTGACGGGTATGTTAGAGTCATATCGCTCTGATGGGGACATGCTGGTTATTTCAAAACACTTGCTTGAACGAGATGTCTTTGATACCGTGGAAGAGTTTACGCGTGAAAGAATGAAAGGTTGGGCTCCTTCGCGCAACGTATGCTCGGGTTGTCGTAAATCTCTTTTGGAAGGCAAAAAGGTGGAGTCGGATGTTGGGCCCCCAGTGGATGTGAATGTTCACGTCGTTGTATTGCGGACAGGAGCTATTTACCATAGTAGATGCTCACCTTTAGATGCTTAGCCACCCCACATTTATAGTACTTACAGGCATATATTATCCATGATTATTTCTATTGTTCGAGTTTATATGTAATCTATTGCACGGAAAACAAACTGGAATAGGTTAACGGGAAAAATATCACGATAGTATGATCAGGGATGAAAGCAAAGCACGGGCTAAAGCAACAATGTCGGCAGCATTATGAATCTATTCGAGACCGTACGTCATTTCCTGCAACAAGGGATTGTACCACGATACTCACCGTCGATCAAGCCACTATGAACCAAGTCATCCAACGATTTAAAGCTCTCTAGCGAGTGTACGTCAACACCCATGGACTCTCCATCCTTTGCAAATGCCTCCACATCAAGGATCATTTGGGTTCTAATCCTTTCTTCATCTCGTCCATCATCGTCCTTCCCAGCGCTAGCTGACGAGAAGAGAGAAAAAGTTGCCTTCTTGCCTTTCTTAAGACGCTTTAAAGACTCTTCCGTTTTCTTCATTGCCGTGAGGTAGTAGTTATATCTGATGAATTGAGTCAGAAGGTGCTAAAAATACTGGAGTAATCGAGGAATACCTTTGACAAGTGACATCAAATACATCTGTAGCAATGGGTTTCAACGAGTCTTTCTTGAGTCGATCACCTGGGCCGCCATTCGAACCTATACCAAAGAAATCTTTGACGGGCCGAAGAATGGAAGTGACGAAGTAACTTGATTCGACAGGCAAGCGCTTGTTTGACATGGCTCTGAACTGCGAAGGTATCGACCTCACGGGGACAAGGGCATCACAGGAGCGCCGAGTCAAAATGGAGACAATCTGGTTCGTCAGAGGAGTGAGAAATGCCTCCAAGGCAGACAATTGATGTTCCAATGCAACTGCGAGAAAATTGTTTAATGCCTCTTACATTGAGGGGATCGACCAGATGCCTAACCTTCTGAGGATATACCCTCATTCCCTTCCGCATTCACTGAATGGGGAAGCATGATACTGATTTCATCACGCCATAAAGCCAACATTTGGCTGGACATGATTTTGATATCGAGAATGACTGCTGAGAACTGTCGTAACAAAAGATCATCCGCGACACTATTTTCAACAGATACACTGTCTGTCATTGGGGGAACTGGGGTAGATGCGCGGGATAAGGAAGATGGTGCTGAGCTCTGCACAAGTGCATTAAAATATTGGTCGAAAATAAAGCATGTTAACCACATCCCAACGTACTTTATCACCTGCGAATGCCGCCACTACTTTCGGTGGAGCCTCAAATGACGGCAGACTACTGTCAAGCCACGTCTTATACCTACTCAACAACTAGGTGCAGAAAAAGTATGAGGGAAGTCACTCGAACAACAACATACGAAAGGCTCTACCTGGAGAGTAAGCTTCCAAAATCGATGGCTTAAGTCAGGGATGTACACCTCTGCACTCCAGCAAGTTGCAATTGCAGTCCATATAGAAGCAGCTTGGGTAGTAGCAAAAGGATGCTGAACTAAAAAGTAAGGACATCAGCTGAATTCCTTAGAGAACAAAAGGAAAAACGGGTGACCTTTTACAAAGCGTTCATTCTTTAGCTCCACTGTTGTCGTCAGGAGCGAATCCTCTAGTTTCCCAATAATATCTTTCCAACGTAGCTGGAAATATACTGGCAGCTGCCACCTCCGCTTGAAATTAACGAATATTGGATGCAAGCGCATAGCCTCGATACAGTACGTAGAAGGAGCTAAGAATTCTAGAGATCGTAGAAATGCTTCTGTCGTTTCGTAATGCTGATGAGAATGATGTCAGTAAAATGTCGAAATACAAAGGTTAGCAAGTAGAAGGCGTTGTACGAACTTTCCTGAATTCATCTGGGTTTCCGACGGAAAATATGACACTACCAAGCTCATCCAGAAGAGCTTTACCGAACTCGGCCCAAATCACATTAGCTATGATATTAAACCCGTCATCCTTTGCCTGCTCTTTGTTATTCATTCCTGACAATGCGATAGACGCAGTTTTGTCTCTTGCTCGGGAAGCAGAGTTCAATGAGGCTTTTTCTGCGATTTCCATGATGTAGCTTAGATCCCTCTCCACAAATCGCAGAAGCTGATTGTAGAGTCTCGCTAATGAGTCATCTGATTCATCCAGAAGATGCATAGATGGCACAGATGATCCATAGCTTGTCTCGAATGGATTTTGCTTTGTTGCAAATGCAGTAAACGGTGTGTACGGTGTACGGAGTGGGAAAGATGCTGTTAGAGGGACAGAAGCTCGGTGAGTGGAAGGGGCAGGAAGGGGTGTGTGTGGAATTATGGGAGAATGGGAAGCATTCAGTGCACCGGGATATATTGTCTAGCAGGAATACCATTACCATCAGATTACTGAACATACTGAACAGTATGCATTCTCACCTTCCTCACAAATCCACGAACGACCTCCTTCCTAAGTATTTCCTCTGCGTCTCTCCATAGACTCAGCGTATCATAAATTCGTAGACACTCAGTCAGGTCAACCATCAACTTCGCCCTTTCTATATCTGACTTCTTGGTTTCATTAATATCCGTAAGAGCCACCAAAGTAGAGGCAAATATGTGATCAAGGTCAGAAGATAACGTTGACTGGACACGATCAATACGCTGTGAGAAAAGACGTGGATATCTTTCAATTGTGCTTGAGTGAGGTCATAGAAAAAGCTCACAAACCCATTGAATCTCATCTACAAATTCACATTTCTCTGCTCGCGCCTTCGCAGTATGGTACAGAAGCTGAGTATATTCAGCGGCTACACGAGCTAAATGCTTCGCGCGATTGCTTTGCGTCCTAAATGCATGTATGATTAAGAGATGAGGATTCATTCAACTGAAATTTAGATCATACCTTATATCAGACTTCACATGTTCTACGTTACTCAGATGAGTAGGCAATTTGGAGGTAGTTAATTCGGAGGAAGATGTTTCGTCCGCCATAGGCTGCGATATCAGGAGTAGAGATTCTAGTCGCGTTACAGACTCTGAGATTTTCAGTAACAGATGAAGCAGTGCCTGTATATGAATGCGTTACTTTAGCACTACCAATAACAACAAGAAACTTTCCTTCTCTTCGCGTATTTTCGCCCGTTCATCCAGTTTTTCTTGAGTAGTATCCTGGATGGTTTGAAGGCTTTTCCTTACTTCCTATATTTACATTGACACTCGTTCGCATTGTGTAGCATAGCGACTTACGAGGATTTCTGATTTAATGCTATTAAGTGGTAGCCTCAACCTCTCCATCCTAGCACCCTCTCCTTTTAAATCGGTACTCAAGCTGATAAAAGCCTCGTAATCGTCATTTATCAATTGAACCAGCTCCTCTTTCAGAGTGGATAGATAGTCCCTCAATTCTGACCGTAAGTCTGGTAAAGAGGTGTAAGACCGTGAAAGTAAGAACTGGTCCACGTCGAACGGCTCTGCTGTCAGATATGGATTATCATGGGAGAGAGGTACATATATAGGAAGGTCATGGTCTGAATGTGAGTCGTCGCTGGCCTGTGTACCGTGGGCGAGTGGATAAGCTTTCTCTCGGGTTGCAAGCTCTTCGGCCAAACGTTCAAGATCGAATGGGTCCTTGCGTTCCACGGATGTCGCGCCAGAGAATTCAAGAGACATTGAAGCAGTGTGTGTTAACCTGTCAACGTAGCACAAGGCACAGCATACGTTCGTGCACTCCAATTCCTGTAACTGAAGGCACCGCGTTTGTTTGGCATCGCCCTTAAGATATAATACATACAAATACCTGCAAACTGTACTCGTCGTCAAACTTCACTTGACGCTGTATCCAGAGTGGAACGTGTTTCATGCTAGCCTCGAATAAACGGATCTCTGCTTCTCACTCTCGAGAAATTTTTGATCCTCTAAATAACGCCTGGTAATGGGTCAGTCGCACCATCCCAAATATCACCAGACTATCACAGGAGTATGGTTTGTATGATTTGAGAATAAGTATAATAAGGTCATCAAATGACTCGGGGTTGTCCCCTGCCATCTATGCCACCAAGTTATCCAGTATCACCCCGTATCCTACTGCTACCTAGAAACGGTATGTTTTGTATGCAGCTGTGTTCAATTCGTTTCTGACTCTTGAGTTCGATTCACCTACTCTCCGGGCCGGGCATTATGTAGCGGACCGCCGAGCCCATGTACGGAATTTCGAGACATGAACGTGCATGAGTGCATGTACCGTTAAACGAACACATTCGCTACTGTAGCCACCACAGTGGTGTGAATCTCGCAACGCAGCCTTTCTCGAAAGCACCAAGCGAGCGCCGGACGCATGGGAGTCTCCGTTGTTTTCCTCGGTGAAAGCAGTGGGAGCCTCACTTCCATCCGATACGTGATTTTTGATGAAATTTGGGGATTGCCGAGTCATCAACTCATGAGGTTTACAAAGGTTCGAGTTCACAGGGCGCAGGCGTGGAGAACTTCTAGGAAAGATTGGACTTGGTGATATATGATAAATGAATGCTAGCGCATCATGTGTGGAATGAAATTGACAGGTTTGGTCGCTTTTTGCTATGCTGGAAACTTCTTCACCTTCATCTTTAGTCACTGATGGCCTCCGAACATAATCACTCTCAGCGTTTCGGTAAAGACGACAGCTCGACTCTTCCGGAAGGCCTGGAACCATATCAAATTGCTATAGCGGGTTACTCGGTGGAACGGCTCTCTTGTCTTCGCTCTCTCTTGAAGAATCAGAATCGGAATCTTCTTCCCTCATGATCGATCGAAGAATATTCAATTACCCGCAGCGCCGTAATCCTTATATACTTTATCCATCATCCCCTTCATCAGTGTACGGTTATCTTCGGCCGGATAGTCGACTTGTCATCCGTGCCAAAAAGTGATGTTCTTCCATGCGTTTCGTAAGGATTTCATCACCATTCGCCCAGACCTGGGGAGTCGGTGATGAGGTCCATCGTGCACTGTTGACAACTATAGAATCTCTTTCTTTTACCGTGATGGCGGCCATGGTGCGACTAAATGCCTTAAATGATATTATTCTCCGCGGACGAAGATTGCAAAGGATATTATGGCAGTGAAAATATCACCCCCTTCTTCGCTTTTGGCGTGCTGACTTCTACACTCTGTTTACGAATCTTAGCGAGATGCATCACAGGACTCCATCATCTAAGCCGGCCTCATACTCCAGGAATACCCTCCAATCTGTATCGAAGAATCCGTAGTCCAGACATGGCTCATACCTCTAGGCCATAACTAACATATCTAAGCCAAGGTACAGCAAATAGGTTCAAGGCACGTATTGGCCTTGTTATGTCGCGGGTTCCTGTTTGTAACGGTTCTTTGAAAGAGTTCCGTTACTTATGACATTGTCTGACTTTGCGAGATATTTCCCAGAGTTTACTCCGTGGCGTTGGCACGCCTTGGGACGAATGGGAGAAACAAACTCCTTTTGAAATTCCTCTCGTCTCCATCCTCTTAGCGATAATCCCCCCACTTCTTCTACGGGCACGGGATGTCTAATTCTCCGCTGCAATCTATCTGATATCATACTCCGCGCTGGCCCGTGACTTCTTTACGTTCTATATTTGGCATCCCAGCTCCTACCATTTGTAACAATTTCTAAGCAGATGGAATTCTCGCCTTCTTTTTGAAGTGAGTGATGCTGAGAACAGTATTGTGAGTTTTTATGACTTGTTTAGCAATATTGATGACCCATCTTACAGCACTCTTACAGCACTTACAGCACTATTGAGTTAAATTGAATGGACTGTCTTTCCCACATATCACTTGAAAGAAAACAACGTTGTGTCATTTCAAACTGCAACCTGTCAACATGTCAATGCGTCCCCACAGTTTTGAATGAGTACATATAATGAATTACGAAAGAAAATGAGAGTTATTGTATGTGATACATGGTATTAACCGGATGTCCGACGCCAAAACTAAGGAGTCCTAGCTATGCAAGATGGTCGGATGATACGCATGGGTATGACAAAAGACAGGAAAAATTAGATAAATGATGGTGTCAAAAGAGAAAACAACAACATGGGGTATAAGTGTAGTTGAACAATAACAGCAACAATGATTACATCATCATTTTTCTTCAAGGTGAGCGAGGAATGCCACCCATGTCTTCTTGTCAATAATGCCTTCATCTGTATGAGGTGATCAGAAATATTTTACAATTTCAGAAGCATGCAACGACCTACAGTCACCGTCTGTGTCTGTGACAACAACGTATCGTGCGCCGAGCTTGACGAAAAACTGGTGGACGAGCTCCAACGGGGCGTTGGACTGAATTGTCAAAGGGGCCTGATTAAAAGAGATAGAAAACTGGTAAGCCTCTCGCAGCCCTTAGGTTGACAGTGGTATATCGAACTGACGTCATCCATGTATACGCTGAAATCGAACGGATCGACACCCGCATGCGAAGCATTGTCTACTAAAGACGAAAACGAAGCAGCCATATCCTCGTGCGTGTACGTCGTATTGAAGTGGACCTCCTCATTTGCGTCCTCTGCGACGATGGCTAGAATTTTTTTGTTGATCAGGTCAGAGCGCAATCATATTGGAAACAACCAGAAAACATACTTAGAGCGTGCTCCAGCTCGCTAGCGCCGATATAACCAATCATCCTCATCCCATCTTGGACACTTTGTTTGACGATTGGGAAGCCGCTATCATCATGCCCATCATTAAGCAAATTCTGCAACTGATCTCTTAAGCTCTCCACATTATTCGTACGGTCCAGATGTATTACATCCACATCACGGTCGGTCTGTATCAACACGTTGGTTAGTAAGAACAAATACATGAAAATGAATATAACAATCATACCACATCGTTAATTGAAAGGTTTCCCCATAAGTACTCATGCTTGGCATCCAAATATGGGAGCTGGGAAAGTCTACCCCGACGGAACAGTGCAAGAAAAAATCATTAATAGCCTGAAGCCAAAGCACAGCTTCGTGACGCACTCAATCACGAGGTCGTAGATGCCCTTGGGTTCAAGTGCATCGGCGACGGTCTTGGCGACAAGAACAGACAACATCACAGGCACGGCATACGTGAGAGTATCCGTCAGCTCGAACATAATGACGGCCAATGAAACAGTCGTCCGCTACAGCGCAAAATCAATATTAGCCAGGAACTTGGTCCTCGGAGAAAAAAGAAATAGACGGAATAGAGCATAATCAACGGTACAGAGGCCGACTCACCGTCACTCCGGATAATGCTGCGGCTGCACCAACCATAGCATACAGCCCAGGGATCACGCAATCCATATCCCCACCGCAGACACCAAAAACCCGGCTGTTGGGGTATTGATACTGCAGCCACTGAACGCCGATGCCAACAATTCGGCCAGCACACGCACCGACCCCAAGGGTGGGGATGAAAATACCTGCAGGGACTTTGATTCCGAAGGTCACGATGGTCAATGCACCCTTGACGACCATCGCGATAAGAATCGCTCGGACGACTGGCCAAAGGTGGCTAAGACTTCCTGGATCGAGCACGCAGAGCCCTGAGTGGGTATTGCCACTCCCTGTGCGACATTCGGCGAAGAGATTGTAGACTAGCTCAGTCCCACCCATGCGGGTGTAGGGATTCAAAAAGCACAAGATGGTGGTGGCGAGTGTCACCTGAGAGAATAAGCAAGACTAGAACCCTCGGAGAAAAGATAAACGTACAAGGATGACTTCAGCAATAGGATGCGTCCTTAACCACGTGGCGCCGCGTACATCGCGACTCCAGCGGTAGTTGAGTTTGGAGAAGTATGCACCGTAAACACCCTATGCAGCAAGTCTAAGTAAGTTTGGGTTGAAGTTTTACCGACGTACCCCGAATGCGCCGAGGAGAAGAAAGAAGACTAGTTCGTATGCATGCCAATCCTAGAAGAGCAAAAGATCAAACGGCTATAGCAAATATAGACAAGCAACTTACTCTATCATAGGTAACCTGGAATAAAACTAGTTTCCCTGTCCCTAGAGGATCAAGGAACCTCAGGGTGATCGCTGCTATCATAGCACAGAAGAAACTGTAAAACAAAAGACAAATTTTAATCACAATTTTGATGCATATTCTATTCGTATTTGTTCACCTTCTCCACATGACCTACATAGGGTAGTTGTGTCAGTCAGTGATCGAACTAGGATAGATGATGGGATAAACCTTTGGTGGGAAGAAGTATGACACTTCTTCCAAGCTGAAAAGGGTTCCGCCTATAGGAGCACCAAAAGCTACAGCGACACCAGCAGCACACGCGGCACTGAGGATTTCACGCCTTTTGGCTGCAGCAGCGATGCAGAGTTAGTACAAGCTAATGCAATAGTTGCTGGCACCAACCCTCATTATTTTCGTACTTGCTATTGTAGCGGCTCACTATATTACCTATACAACTTGCGATATGGACAAATGGGCCTTCTTTGCCGAGTGAAAGACCAGAAGCGACCGAAAGGGCAAGCCCGACAGACTTTGTAAAGAGAGTACGACCCCCGAGATACCCGTGGATAACGAAACCTTTAGAAGAGCCACCGTTAGTTACTTTCCTGACCATGACAAATTAGATGCGCACCAGAAAGTATGGTTTTGATCTCGGGTATGCCACTTCCAGCGGCCTGGAGACGACCTTGGTTAGCTAAATGACGATCAAATCGAAGAAAGTATACGAACGTAATACATGAGCTTGCGTTTAGGCTGGGTTTCAGGGGACGAAGTAGGCGATGACGTAGTATCTTTTCCGTTGCCAAATTCAGGCGAGAGAACACCAGATTCTTTGCGAGTGATGAAAGAAGTTGACGCAGTAAGATGAATAGTGAGTAACGCAGACGTCACGGCCAAGAGCAGCTACGGGTATATGCGCGGGTTGAGAATCGATATGAATTGAAATGAGGACAAAGAGAGGCATACCGCGACACAAGCATAAGCAATATATTCTACCATGTTTTCATGATCTCCGTCCAGCACCTGACCTCCGTGCGTCCAAGATTCATACGCATATGACCATGTTCTCCATGCAGGACAATCGGTATCATTAGATAATAAAAGATCGTCAGATGTAGTTGGACAACAAAAACTCTTTGCTCTCCATAAAGAGGTAGTACAATAGCCTTCTTTTGCGTCAAATAACCATTGTTCTCCACGGATGACGAGAAAAGCGATAACAGAAGTGAGAAAGCCTACGATGGTGACGATGATCCAACCAAGACTTTTGTCGAAAGCCAGGCGGATGCGAGAGCGTATAGATTTACCCCTTCTTAATCGGGAAAAGCGAACAGAGTCTTTGATTGCGTCATGCAGCCAGTCGATAGATGAGAAAGAGGAGTACCACACCCGTATACCGTTTGTGCGTACATCTGCGTCCTCGTTCGGCTGGTCTGGCTTTGAGCTGATGAGGGGGGCATCATACGCAGATATGGGGCGTTGGAGTAGCCTGCTACGAAAATAAGAGCGATCTCGCAGAGAAGAGGGTGAATGGAGAGGCGAGGTGGGGTTTGAAGAAGCACTGTGGGGGAGGTCGATGCCTGGAAGAGCAGGAAGGTGGCGTCTGAGACGAAAGCTACCGATGTTGCCGCTGGTCGTGCGCTTTGGCTTTGGGGCTACGAGGAGGGTGCCGTAATCCGTCGAGTCTGTATTGGAGCGCAGAGAAGTGAGCTCGTCTGCTGTGCTGACTCTGTTGAGGATGGTTGGCGTCGTCGTGCTGCTGCCTATTCGGAGCAGACGTTGCCTTCGCCATGCAATAGTCGACGGCCCACTGAGCGGACCTGTCGGGTTTTCGGACAAAGGGGGCGCTAGCGATGACGACGAGCGCGTTCGCTGCAGTGATTGGTCCATTCGTCCAGCTGATAACCGCACACGTCTTCAAGTCAGACTTCCTCACTGAAATGGTCGTTGGCGTGCCCCATTCAGCATGCCATCCATATATGGTAATTCACTCTGGCCTCCTGCTCGTGTCTCATTGCATTCGTGCACAACACCAGCCCGCTCACACGAGCACATTATCTACTCAACACAGCTCAGCTATACCTTCTTTGCAATAGCATACGATCTCTTGTTCTCAAAGAACGATTATCCCAGACACGCCCTTCCAGCTCTTCCCATGTCAACCCAGTGAGAATACCTGGTACAGGCGATCAAAACAATTTAATCAAAGCTTAATCCACTTTACAACCCACAATTGCCATCTCCGATGCAAGAATAACCTATACCATACCTTCAAACTGACAAGATGGCGAATCTGTGGGTGCGCTGATAAAAACCAAATAAAAACTGCATCATGGCCATCCAACATTAGGGTAGTTGACAATGGTGTGAAACGTGCGAGCCCCAGAACACCATCTTCCTCGAACTAATAGCTGCTCAACACTGTACTGAAGTGACACTCAGTGACTGAACCAAACCTTACGGTGGATGATTGGTTACGGTTCAACTTTCGAGCCCGGCCAATGTCCGGCATAATATTTTTCAAAATCCGATGTACCTTCAGCTATTATATTTGTATTTAGCAAAATTCGAGCAAGGCCTTTGATGGGCGATCAACGAAGATACATTTTAATTAATTTCTTTGATCCAGCGAGTGTGATTTGGGCAAAAGCCAGTGTGATGAGAGATCGAGCGAGCGTGCAATTCAATATGTCAACATAGGATTTCAAGCGTCCAAATACATCAAGAAATTACAAGTATTACACATATACTGACAACCCCTCTCCTCAAGGTAAGATCTCCACCTCACCCGCTTCGATTGTGTTCTGCATGGCTGTGATACCGGCGGAAATAGAAGGACAGCGAGTAAAAACGGCGCGGCTGACAGCGATAACGAGAGGAGAGGTAGACTGCCTGAGAAAATAGAGATGAGACAGTTTCGAAGTCGACGAGTCAAAGGTCACTTACCACGCAGCAAAGATACCAATTCTACGTCCTCTGGTGACCAAATAGAAGGGACCAGCTGTCCCAGCATCAGGAACCTCATAAACCTGGCCGAGGTATGTGCGAGTGATAGCCTGTGAGGCATTTGGCACATTACCTCCAGGTGGAGCGGCAGGGGTAGCGAGCGAGCCAAGTGCTGTGGTGAAAAGAGGAGAGCTGGTGGTGATCGGAGAAACTGTCGCATAAGCACTGGCACCCAAAGCAGGAGTAAGCGGAGAAGAGGCGGCACCCAAAGCAGGAGTGCGTGAAGAAGCAGCAGCTGAAGGACCAGATACCACAGTAGAGCTGGCGGCAAGCGACCCTTGAACTATTGAGGAAGATGGGGAAGAGCTGGTGTATATGGGACTTGATGGAGTTGAAGGGCGGGCACTGCCAAGAACAGCGGACATCATGAGCATAGCGTTGCTCCTACTCAAGGTTACGGATGAGAGGAGAGAAAGGAGGATGTCTGGAGGTACACGTAAGTTAGTGCAATAATCAGAAACATGAGAAGGCCTTACTCATAGTTTCTTCCTCGTCGCTGAGGCAATCTTCACTCACGGAGCGTTCAGGCTGCTTGGAAGAGTTTGAACGACCAGGGGGAGGAGATTGAGTCATTGCAATTTGGAAGGAGGAGGTAAGTATGTCTGGATGATAATTGTGAACTCACCCGTACCTTTTATAGCTGTTTGCTTGAGGCAGCATAGACTTACAGCCCATAGTGAC